TAAGAATACTGTTGCAGGTAAAAAAAATCAGTTAAAGGATAAAAAAATTCAAAATTAAAAACATATGGCTTTATTTAAAGTTTTTTGGAAAAGGAAACGTTTCTACGATTATCATTTTATTATCGGTCATACTACAAGCAACAAATCTATGCGATTTGTAGTTTAATTTTTTGAAAAATAAAAGAAAAAAATACGAGCTTAAAGTGATACGCAGATACAATTTTTATTTACCATCCAGATAAAATTTTTGTTTATTATTTATTGGAAACCTCCAATTATTTAAACGCTTGCATGTCGACATGCACCAAGGCAAAACAGGATTCTAGCTGAAAATTCGTTTTTAGCAAATCAAGGCTGTACTTCACTGTAGTGCTGGCGATTAAACTAGTCATCTGTTTCGTGAAGCGATCCCATCTCAAATAAAACCACCACTAAAATGCGGGCTTTTTACGATCATTCATCAAACATATACCTGCAGTCCTACTGCATGTCGTCATGCACAATCTTCCCGCTGTGCAACATGTTGCAACGACCTGAAAACATTGACCCAAAATAAAAAATGATTTTTTATTAATCCAGCGTTTAACATTTGAGATTTCATTGAAATTCTCACCGTAGAATCAGTTCAAAACTTGTGGGGTCCTTGCAGCATCGCAGACAAGAACGCGCTCTTGCGTGTCTTCCATAGACGTGCTGCGTCTAGCAGCTTTACGCTACAGAATGCCAGCACCATCACTTTTCACGCAAATGCTGAAAAGGGATCTGGCTGTCGACAGCCATAAAACGGAAAACTTGGAGATGGTTATGAAGAATCTTAATTGAAAAGCCTGGCTTTTAGAAAGTCAATAATTGTGGATTTTAAAGTTAGTTTCTTACTTTCCATAAGCCTGGACGGCACAACGGCGCTGAACGTGAACGTGCTGTGAACAGTGAACACTGAATGCCGCTCGACCAATCAGAGAAGGCATAACAGCAGCTTTCACTGACTGAACTTTGCAGCAAAAGTTTTATTGTCACGCGGGCTTTTACACGCTAAATATTTGTATGCAGTGCACTCAGAAGCAAAGTGAACAGATAAGTCTTTAGAAAAATTGCATTTATACGAATATTTTCGGAATGTCTGATACTTTATGTCGGTCGACCGACATTTGATTTTGCACCGAAACTATACTTTCGTTACTGATTGCATATCATGGCTATACAATACCATGCGAAAATTTAGCGCGCAGTGATTACGATACATAAACTGAATCAATTTTCTGGCATTTCCACTTTGTAGACAGTTTATGCCAATCGACTAGCAAAGTTTCTGTTTTTATATACTTACCAGTTAAATCACTTAAATGTAATTAATATTTTGTGACAAGGCAGATAAATTTACAACGTATAAACGGTTTTTACGAAACTTTTGCTTTTGCCAGCAAATGGATGTAACTTCGACACAAATTTGTGCTGATATAAAATCTGGTTTCTAAACGGCTGCCCGAATTTTGCCGTGGATATATGTTGTTATAGAGTGCCGATATGTTGCAGTATTTTGATGTAATTTAGAAAATACTTTTTATCGTGGGGATCACCTGTACTCGTACCCGATAACGAACAGAACAACCCGGTTTTTTGTGTTGTGTTGTGTTGCTTCCCACTGCGCATTGGCAAGCGATCTTTCTACGGCGCAATTTAAAGTTTTCCAGCAAAGGACCGTCTGCAACGGATCCCCCACTTAAGAGACCCAGCATTGTTAATTATTATGCGCACACTTCTCCAACGTTTGCCGATCTCGACATTTTGCTGCTTTCATTGATTAAGCTATGTAAATTGTGCCAAGATGGATTATACAAATCTTAGGCACCCTTTTTTGAATTTGAAAGTTATAATAATATTATGTGAAAGGAATATAATTCACATATTCCAAAAATTTATTTTATCATTTTATACAGTTGCTATGACCGTAAAAGAGACTGTGACGGAGCAAGTAAAACTCAAAACTGTGGGCCCGGGTGAAAACGGCACAGGAGTGCCGCTGAACCTTTACGACAGCGACTTGGCTGATGTCCTGGCGGTTGGGAGGATGCTCTATGACAGAGTCATCGGCATCTTCTCATATCTGTGCCAAAAAGGAAATCCAGGACGATTTACCGGCCTCGCAGATCCAGGCGACCTTGCCATCTGCAATCCCGACGCGGAGGAGGTCAGACGCATACAGAATGATCTGGCGGCAGGAATGGAATGCATCCAGGCCCTGTATGGCTCAAACCATTTTGTACTGTCACACAAAAGGCCATCCGAGAACACAGTTCGCTTGTACAACAGTATGAATGCTCCGCTGTCGCCGCACGTCCAACTGCAACTGTCCATGCTGTACGGTGGCGAACAGAATCCGGTCACCGCAGTATTTCCGATTGTCCAGCTTCAGTTGCCGGGGTCCAATCAGTGCGGCCCGATGGTGTGTTCCTACATTGCTGAACTGATCTCTGGAGTATCGCCGGCGAGCACTGTATTCGCGAAAGCGTCAGCTCAAAGGGAATGGTTGGCCGGAGTGTTACAGGCTGAGAAAATCACACGGTGTCCTAAACGGCTTGGGAGGAAGGCAGTGAATGAGCTGACTACCGCGAAAGATGACCTTCTAGTCACAGTAGAAGACGCGATACTAATTCGTTCTAGGCTGGCTGATTTGCCTAACCGTCCTATTATAGGCTGGAAAGCCTGATGTGCATAACTCGACGCCAAAAAAAACTGCTGTACTATTCTCCGAATTACCCGAATAAAACTGGATTACTATTAATTTTGAGAATACAAAATCTGTTATATATACAATTAAAATTAAATTAAAAAGGGTGCCTATAATAAACGGGGTGTGAAAAGGGGTGCCTATAATAAACGGGGGTTTTAGGGGGTGCCTATAACGGTTTCCAAAAAAATAAGCAACATAAATAAAACGTATAAATTGAAAACCATAAAATTCTATGACCAAAACGTGGTATCGACATTATTTCTGCGTAATTAAATATATTACTACCGCTTGTTCTGGGACCAAAAACCTGAAACTCGTTGGTCTTGCCTCGCTGGCTTTTAACAAACGTTAAATCTACGCGTACCAAAACTAACGCCTCCACTGTACTGTTTCCGGATTGCCAAGGACTCTAACAATACCGCGTACTGCCAAATACCATTTTTTTAACAAAATTGTAACCGAATCTCTTGACGCTTAAGCCGAAACGGTGAATAGTAAAACTTAGTTCAGTAAAATAAATATATTTCATATAATTAACCAGGCGACGATACAATATATTAGTAATCATATAGCATCAATATGTATTATTGTATTACGTAACAATTGTACATATAACATATTGTATTAATATATTAAAATCTGTCATTTTTCTAGCGTTCCTGTTTTGGTTTGGCTTTGAAGAGATTACGATAAAAAGATAATTTTCTCGAATTCTCTGTTTTGAGAATCACCGTACTCCGATCACCGTCGGAGATTGTTACAGTGAGGTGCGTGGCAGATTAGTGTCACCGCAAGCCGCATTAAAGGTAGTTTTTTTACACAATTCATTACAACTCAACCACAGGTTGTTGAGAGTGGCAGGCAGGGCCGGCTAAGAATACGCGTACTACACAGATTATTTTGTACCGTGCTACAGGTGCAGGTGAAACTGATAGCTAGCATACATCACCAAGAAATGATTACAAGTAAATCGAAGCAAGATGCTTGAGAAAAAGTCGGTTATCGTAGCAGTTTTGCAGAAAACGTAGGTTGCTAATATATTTCCCATCGATCTGCTTATACTAAGGAGGACAAATCCACGGGCGCGAGCCCGTGGAAAGGATTTGGAAAGGAAATTGCCATGGAATTCCATGGAATCCGTGGATTTACGGAAATCCAAACGGATTTCCGTAATTCCAAGGATTTCTTAGTTTTCGTTGGAATACCGTTATTGAACTATCTCTTTACATAACTATGAACAAAAAATCATTTTGATTAACTTCAGCTGCTTAATTTCTGCGCATTCGTCATTAAAAACTTCATTTGAAACTCTAAACGGATTAAAGAAACCTAAACATTTACTATCTGCCTATCATAAACCAAGGCAGACTGGCAGTAATATGCTGCTGTAGTATAGACTGTATACTATACAGTGTATAGTATACTAAGTATAGTACCGGTACGATTTACGAATACTGTCGGCCATGCATACGCAAGTTGAAGAAAGCGAAAAACAACATCAAAAGTCGGCAGATTGTAGATTGTTAGCTACTGAGCGCTGCCCTTAGATATCTCCGTATCATCCTTTCCAAGAGGATGACTTTGATTTTTCTCTTGTTTTGGTCAATTTAAGTATACGGTTTCATATTTTGACTTACTTTGATAGAAAAATTAAAAATGATTGAACTCGAAATTTCTGAACTCTGCAAATGTTGAAGAGCGGTTCCTTTACGTTGCAGCCGGTCGAATTTCTGTTCTCTGTTTGCTCTTTTATGGATTTTTTTAAGTTCATGCTTCGAAATATTATATGAGCTAAGTTTTTCTAGTATATTTGTTTTGCCAGGAAATCTGAACACCGGGTGACCGAAATATGCAAATTTTTGAAGAAGAACATTGTTTTCTCTCGGATAGATCAAGCAGACTTCCTGATCTATTGAGAATACAAAAGAAACAAAATAGAAACAGTAACGTTCGCGGCTACTATACTGGCGATTACGCTATTTTCAAAATAAATCGTTTGAGACCGGAAGACGAGGTAATGTAAAATTTGCAGCCGCCTGTCGAAAACAACACGAAAATGTTTTGTTTTCATTGTTTTTCCCTGACATTTCTATGCGCTTGGAATTCCAAATACAGGAATTGGAATTCATTGAATTCACGGAATCCAATTTCAAATCCGAGCCGCCCGCGAGGAGCACGGATTTGGAAATTGGATTCCCTCCGTGGAATTCCATTTTCCTTGGACGGTCGTTCCTTAGCTTATACGAACGTGCACAGAGGAACATGGGAGAGCTCCAAAATCAATTTTTTTCAATATGTATTGAGTATAAGATTACAGCACTGACGTAAACAGCTTTCAGTATTCTTTTGATTTTCTACCGGTAGGAAGTTTCTCAATATAATTCTCATACACAACTATAAGATCAATGGTTCTGTTTTTTGAATAAAGCGTCACTGACGACTGCACAGATATCTGCTCTTAAAATTATATAATTTCTACGTTTAGCCGCCGCGTCCCCCCATAAACTGTTGCATGAGCATCAGATACTGCAGTAGCTGATTCAGCACCTGGTTGTTATGATTCGGTGGACGGGTCGTGGCGTGCGTCGTCGGCCGGTAGAACGGGAACGCCGGATGCGGCGGCGGTGTCGGACGCGTTGTGGGGCGCGGTGGGTGTGGCCGTGTGGTCGGGCGGGTCGGCGTCGTGGTGCGCTGGGTGGTGGTGGTCGTTGAGCGGGTGCGGCGCGGCCGACGGGTGGTGGTCGTGGTGGTGCGGCGGGTGCGGGACGGTCGGTGCGACGCGGTGGAAGGGGCCGATGAGGCCGGTGCAGTGAAGGCGACCGACGAGGCGCGCGTAGTGGACGCAGCCTGGGACCCGGTTGTCAAAGCCGGTGCAGAAGTGGGGGCGGCGGTCTTCCCGATGGTGCCGGAAGTGGATTGCACCGTGGATGCGGTAGTAGGGGAACCACCTGTGGTAGCGGAAATCGGTGCGTCAGTTTGTTCGTTTGGCGAATCGGTTGGATCCGTACCGGAAGTTTCCGCTGGTTGGGTGGTTTGCTCCGGGCCTTCACTGTTACCGCTGGAAGTCGATTCTGATACTTCATTTGGTTCTGACGTAGCAGAGGACACCGGTGATCCGGTGCTTGGTTCATCGGAAGTCTCCTGACCGGTAGTCGAGGATCCACTTCCGGTTGTGGTGAAAGTGCCGTCTGGCCCATCAGTATCACCGGCGCTGGACGTTGACGCTGGATTTGGAGAAGTTATGCTGTCTTCCGACTCGGTGTTCCCGCTGGCACTTGTTCCATCATTTTCGTTCGAACTCGTTGTCGTCACCGAAGTCAGTGAGTCGGTTTGCTCACCGGAAGGCTCGCTGGACTGACCGGCACCGGTAGTTGCAGTGGCGTCCGGTGTTTCCGAGCCGCTGTGTGACACGCTGAACCCGGTCGTTTCGCCGGTTTCGTTCTGGTCGGATGATGGCGTTGACGATGTTGCGGACGAGTCTCCAGAGCCTGTTGCCGGGTTACCGTTAGCTTCGGAGATCCCGAATGAGCTTCCCGTAGCGGCACTGGTCGACTCGCCGTTCGTACTCGGTGTGAATGGAACTTGCGACGTGGAGCCGGCGTCGGAGGATTCCGTGGTGGAGACGTCCTGCGTCTCGGAACCGGTAACGGATGTCGTGCTGGGTCCGGTTGGGTCGCCGGTTTCATTTTGATCGGTCTGTGGATTGGACGACTGTTGTGTTGAAAGGTCATTCGTATCCCCGGAAGTAGTTGAGCCGGGTGTCGTGGATTCATTGGAATCCGCATCAACCGTCGATGTCTGTGGTGAAGAACCGGATTCTTGACCATCGGGTTGGTCACTTCCAGAGGTCGTCGGCGAGTCGTTGTTGCCCGCGGTAGTAGTAAAACCGGAAGTCGTTGATTTACTAGAAGAATCGGAGTCATCGGTAGATGTCGTTTGAAACGATGCACTCGAGTCGGAACCGTCAGGTTTACCGGTTCCGGATGTGGTCGACGAACCGTCGTCACCTCCCGCTGTACTAGCACCGTAAGTGGTGGACCCCCCGGACGCATTGGTATCTCCGGTAACTGATGACTGGGAAGATGAATTAGAGTCGGAACCGTCGGGTTTATCGGTTGCGGACGTGGAAGAACCGTCGTTATCCTCGGTTGTGCTGGAACCGGAAGTGGAGGACGAGCCATCGCTGTCCGCCGTTGTGCTTAAACCGGAAGTGGACGAATCTGAATCGTCGGGTGTAGACGATTGTGGTGATACGCTGGACCCGTCGCTATCAGACTGCCCGGTTACGGGGACAGATGACGGGGTTGGGTCATCGCTATTTCCGTTTGTGCTGGAACCGGATGTGGATGACTCGGAATCGCCCGTCGATGGCTGCGGTGATCCGCTTGAGCCGCCACCGTCCGGTTTATCGGTTGCGCTGTTGGTGGCGCTGTTATCTGTTTGATCGGAGCCGGAAGTGGTCAGTGTCGACCCGGTGCCGGTTACATCGTTATCGTTACTGTCCGATGTTGCGGTTGGTGAAACAACAGTTGTGCCGTCTTGGTTATCGGACTGGCCAGTAAATGGTAGGCTGGCACTTGTGGTAACGGTGGAGCCAGTAACGGTACCAGCATTGGTTACATCGTTGCCATTGGATGTAACGCTTCCGGTACTGGTTACATCGTTATCACCAGTTGTAACAGTTCCGACACTGGTTACGTCGTTATCGTTACCGTCGGAAGTAGTAACGATGGCGGTGACGGCTCCGCTACTGGTTACATCGTTATCGCCACCATCAGACGTGATTATGGTGAAACCAGTAACGGCTCCGGCACTTGTTGCACCATCATCGTTACCACCAGTCGTTGACATTATGGGAGCAGTCGTTGTTTCGTCTTGGTTATCCGACTGGCCAGTGACCGGAACCCCTGATCGTGTGGTAATTGTGCCACCCGTAACCGTTGATGCCGGTGGTACAGTGCCACCGGACTGACTGGGTTGGTTGGTCGGGTCGAAGTCCAGAATGTCCGAACCGTCCGTTGTCAAACCACTCGGTAGGTTGGACGTCGTAGCGCCGGTTCCAGTGGTGCCGCTTGAAAAGGTCACACCACCGCTGCTCGTCGGTGTTACCGCACCATCGTTGTCATTTGTCGACGAACCGGAAACGCCGTCCTCGGATGTACTACCGGTTGACGACATCGTTGTGATGGACACAACCGGTGTGTTTTCATTATCACCTGTGTTACCGGTTGAAACCACCGTTGAAGCACCCTCGGAAGGACTTTCAGTGGTGAAACCTGTTCCGGAAGTTGCGTCACCGTCGGCGACGGTCGACGCTGAATCGGTCACCGAGCTCGAGGCGCCGGTATTCGATGTACTTCCGGAGGAAGTGGCCCCTGTTCCAGAAGACACCGTGGATACTGCGTCATCGCCCGTTGTGACGAAAGTTCCGCCGGCCACCGGCGTGATGTCGGAATCGGAATTACCGGTTGATCCACTATTTGCCAGGGAGGTGGTTGTTTCTTCGTTATCGGTTGTCGATGTTGGGTTTGTTACAGAACCAGTGGGAGCAACGGACATCGGGCCAGCCGTAGTGCTTCCGGAAGTGCCCGCACTGATCCCCGTGGATCCTGATCCTCCCGTTGTACTGATGGCTGATGTCGTCCCGGTAACGGCGGACGTGCTCCCGGAAGATGTGGATCTGGTTCCAGAGGATTCGGTCGACAGTGCTCCGGGAGTTGTCAGCGATGTTCCGGAAGTGGTGGACGGTGCGGGAGTGGTCGACGATGTTCCGGAAGTGGTCGACGCCGAACTGCCGGCTGTACTTCCTGGTGAAGATGCGCCAGCTCCGGACGTCGTGGATGAGGCGGTAGTGGTTGCGGACGTTGGCGTGGTACCAGTGGGCGTGGTCAATACGCTGCTTTGTGGCGAACTGCCTGTCGGCGTCACGCTCGCTCCAGATGAACCCGTTGATGCCGTCGCCGAAGTGCCAACACTAGCACCGCTCGACGTCGAAGATGTTCCAGCAATCGTGGTCGACTGAGCGGTATTTCCAGTGACACCTGGGGACGTCGTAGTAACTCCCAATGGAGACGTTGATGTTACCGCGGCGGTTCCGCCGGACGCAGTCGATGATGCAGTTGAAGTAGGCGAACTACCTTGACCGGAAGTGGTGATGGCTGATGCGCCGCTCTGTGTGGAACCTGTCCCGGAAGGACCCGTTAATGTTGTTGCCGAAGTCACAGTCGATGCTGTTGATGTACCTGAAGCGGTAGTCGATTGCGCAGCTATCGTGGAACCGGCGGACGTTACAGTAGCTGCCGTTGAGGGCGCTGGTGTGCCGGTAGCGGTTGTACCCGCTGTCGCCGAAGATGCGGCCAAAGTGGGTGAACTACCTTGACCGGAAGTGGTGCTGGTTGCTGTCGACGTAACGCTTTGTGCCGAAATTCCGGTGGACGTCGTGCCGGTTCCGGAGGAACCCGCTGATGTTGTTACCGAAGTAGCAGTCGACCCTGATGAGGTGCCAGAACCGGTAGTCGATTGGGAAGCTCCAGTAGTTGCCGAAGAAGCCGATGTTCCGGTACCGGTTGTGCCGGATGTCGAAGATGCAGTCGAAGGGGACGAAGTTACTTGGCCGGAAGTTGTGGTGGATGCCGTGGATGTGCCGCTTTGTGCCGAACTTCCGGTTGGTGCCGAACTCGTTCCGGATGAGCCAGTCAATGTTGTTGCCGAAGTAACACTACCGGTCGGCGCCAGTGATGTGCCAGAACCGGTGTCAGTAGTGGTATCGGTGGATGTTGCAGTAGTGGCCGAAGCGGAGGTTGGCGTTACATTAGCGGTTGTGCCAGATGCTGTCGTAGGTGCCGAAGTGGACGACGCCGGTGCACCCGTCGCGGTGGTCGCGCCGGACGTCAATGCCGGTGTTGTCAGACCATCGGCGGTGGTTTGTGGTGATATGTTGGCGGATCCGGTGGTTGTGTCAACCGAGGTGGACGACTGTGTAGTGGAAGTCGTCGTGGATGAGGCGGTGCATTCCTGCATCAGTTTGTTGAGTTCCGTGACGACATCTTGCAAAGTGATTGTGATGGCCGGCTCTTCAAATGTGGAAAGCGGGAATGTGGCTTTAAAGATCTGCTTCATCTGATCACCGCGGAGTTTCAGGAGACCGGCATTAATTCGTAGCTGAATAATAACATCTATAAAAAGGCAAAGAGGTAATTCTGGTTAATTTTCGATGTCCAGTTAACAGTACCACTACCTAGTACATGTACATGTACACAATACGCTGTTATTATTAAGCAAAAAATTTGATACTTTTCATATAGACAGATAGATATACAGTGTACATTTGACTGCGGTGTATGTAACGTTTGTACATATTATATGTGCATATCTACAATTGTATATTGTAGCCTACACTGTGCATTACTACCATATTATTGTACAATATATACTTATTATACACTGTATTTATATAATAATTATTAGAATAACTATAATAACCTATTAATGTACGCTTTCGGCTGCTAAATTTATGCCCACAAATACGAGGCGTATATGTGTACCATAAAGGTGACCTTACTGTTTCGGACAGCCCAGGACGGTGTGACCGTTTTCAGGACGGTCTGCTTGAGGCCGGTCAGAGGATTATTGTACTGGAGATTCTTGGTCAGTTTGTTATCGGTCACCGGTGTGCGTCCAATGAAGACCGTGGTCCCATCGAAAGCCTGTGCTAGTGCGTCGTCCAGTGCGGATTTCGGGAACAGTTTCCCAATCGCCGATGTCAATGCCGCCCCTGTCGCTCCCGCATCCCGGATGTCGGATGAAGCGGAGCTGATCATGTCCGATTTGGACGTATATTGGTCCAGATTTTGCTAATAATAAATGATCTAAATTAATTTCGGTAGATCGGTGGTTAATTAATTTTTTTACATAAATATAGATATACCTTGATGCTCTGCAGCTGCGGTGTGATGGACCATGTACTAACTCCTTTGGGCGTCAGCGCTTTATTCAGGCTGGATATTTGTGTGACGTTCTGAGTGAAGAACGGGACGCTAAACAGAACATTCCGGTCCTTGTACACTCCGTCGCTTTCCACGGCACACGCCATGACATCCGCCGTCTACGCCAAAATGGAGTTAATAAACAGACAGTTTTTACAGGGCTGTAGTCAAAATACTAAAAGTTCTCACTATACTCCTATAATACGGATCGTATTTTTTTCTTTATTCACAATGTCAGCGAACACCACTCATTAAGCAGAATCAAATGAAAAATTGGTCCCAAATAACTATATAGTATATAGTTATTTCCTATTACACATTGACATCACACCGTTAAGTATCGTTTAATATATATATATATATATATATATATATATATATAAGTTATATATATAAGTAACGACAAAATTATGACTTATTTGTGTTTATGTAATGACTGTACCGTAACAGAATCTTGTTAACATATAATGTTTTTTTATTTATGTATTATTGTGAGAGTCTTCCACTAAGAACCGCCAAACAAACCCGATATTATAAAATAAATAATTACCGTAAGTATCAGTACATTACAAATAATTTATGTTTTTATATGGTCTTGAATTGCCCTTCGAATCAAAGTTTGCATCTGCAATGCACAAATTTTTAAATGAAATGTGTGCCTTACGCCGTTTTCCAAAGCATTCACGGCATCGTCAAAATTGCTGGCATAAATGGGAACTGGATCAATGGGATTATCCGGGCCTGCGATTTTCAGTAAAATATTTTGGAAGTATCCGGGAGGCATACCCACATTGTTGTATAAATCATCGATCTGTAATCACGATCCAGACACTGACAATTTTGAATAAAACATTATACTGATTTATTTACTCAGGTTGGCGGTTCAATACCGTCTGAGTTTTTCTGTCAAAGTAAAACTGATAACTTTAATTAAAATAGTTGCAGTTATTATACATTAGTTACAACTTCAATTACAATTATAATTATTTTGTAATTTAACTGTAATAATAATTAACATTAAAATTATTAACATTATAATTACGCTTGCGTACCGCTACGGTGACGACTTTGAGTGGCTTGATAACAACAGTGGGATCTGTACATGCCGGTGAAGCCACTGGCACAAAACCAGCTAAAGTCAGAGCAAATACAAAGGTCACTCCGGTACTGCGCACCATATTGTCACTCAGTTACTTCCGGCCAGTATCGAGAAACGTGTACTACAGAAACACTCAACTAAAGAAAATGTCCTATTCGTTATTGAACTTCTCATAATCAATGGATTCACGTTTTTCCCGAAATTTTCTTTGCCGTCGCAGCAGAAGTGTGAAGTGGGTGAAACTGCTGAACGCGGTAAGGTTCTAACCTTCATGATTCAGCAACATGCCGGAAACTCAGGAATATACACCGTGTTGCCGTGTATCTAACCAGGTAGTATTTACTTCGTAGTTAGACTGCAAAGAAAACGCTCATGCATATAAATATGAGAGTTTCTGAAAAAGTTCCATTTTCCATACATAGCCTTGTAAGCGGACCGATCTTAGAATAATGTGTACAGTACATACAGCCTGTAACAAGTGTATAATATACAGTATAAATCAGTTCATGCAGCTCACGGGAATTATAGTCGTCAGCCAGAGTCAGTCATATGCATACTACTTTGTATGTAGATATATCATATATGCACTCGCATTAAATAAACCATAACCTTTTTTCCTTTATTTCGGCAGCAGCCAGTTCATATAAGAATAAGCTTGCGCTGGTAGAAACTAATTAAAACGATTGAAAATTTAAAAGGCACATGCAGACCATAATCTCCATATAAAGACTAAGTGAAGTACGTACTCGTATTATGTATAACTGTAAAAGTATTAAGTGTATTGTATTCGTAGCCAAAGTGCCATCGTCTGCACATTTCCATAAATACAAGTATAGATATTAATGACGTTGAATATCAAATAGTTTTATAAGTTAACATAATCAAGCTTTGTCAAATGAGCAGTTTCCGTACTCGTATATGTAGAAAGAAGTATGCCGGAGTCCGGAGATAAAAAAAAGATAATCAACGAGCACCATTAAGTAATCGTACGATAAGCGCTTAATTTTTTTATATTTTTTGACATATCTATTTTAATTTAGTAAACTTACAGGATAATGGGAAGAATGACTATCCTTCTTTATTGATAATCATTATAGACTGATATCATACAGTTGGCGTTACAATTAATGTAAAATAACATCAAACTCTTGCACATCAAAATCTGTTTCAATATGCAGTATACCTTCGTCGAAGTAGACGCCAGTCAGTACACAGTAAAACTCGATAAGGAGATTAAAGACAAACTTACGAAAAAGTAATAAATTAATTTGTGCGTGTACTTGTACTGTGGGACATCGGAATTATAATGGGAGCACAATATGGAAATTTGATCAATGGAAAATAATGGAAATTTATAATGGGAATTTAATCAATGCTTGCAGCGCCCCCGCTGTCCCGTTAAGACAGCAAAACCTCGCAGTAGGCGGGACTTCGGTAGGCAGCTGTGACCATTGGGTATTAGCCCAAGTCCATTGAATTCACACTGGCACATCGAGACCGCCGTGACGCCGCATTTTAATCAGTCGATCCTTTTGTGGGTTCTTGAAATTAAAGTGTCAGCCAGTTTAGCGACTTCCATCGCTTCAGTTAGGTTTATTCGCTGAGACTGAGTTGGTCATGATTTGTTGATCCTAGTAGAATTAAAATTAAAAACGCTCGCTCACTTCGCTCGCTCGCTTGATTAGATCTCTAAACCTTTTGGTTTGAGATAAAGTGTGTCGGCGAAATTCGTCCATTCTCCTGGAATCTCAAAAGAGTTTGCGTTGTCGTTTTTATCCATCCCGTCCGTCGTTCTCCGGTTTAAAGATGAATGATCTGGTAAAGATCCTAGTCGGTGGATTCCTCCTATCAACAGGTGAGTTATTTTTAATAATCATGGATTTTTCCTGTCTGTCTGGTGCGCAAAGAGCTGAAGGGTTGATTTAAAATCAGAATTTTTGAAAACTCCTGCCTGAACTTCCTGGTTTTCTTAAGCGTGTGGGACCAACGCGGAAATTTGAAATTAATTGGAATCATTCGTTTCGTATTGTTAATCGCGAGTCGTTCATCTGTGGAAACCGATGGCTGAAAAATGCAGAAATGATAATATTCTTGTAATGTAAAAACTTTTGCAAGGCATAAAATGTGTATGGTGTATTGGTGTCGACTTTTTCTGATTTTTTATTGATTTTGATTTTTAAATGGAAATAATCTCCGTGAGCATTAAATTGAGGGAAAATTTATCATTAGGCAGACAAGTCATGATCAGGATGGTTTTGAATTAAACTCACTTGAGATTTTTATCGAGAAGTAATTCATAATTTATCAAATAAAACGAAGAATTAATTTCCTGTAATATAAAAGTATTTTTCCTGCAGCAGTTATCTTTTACCCTTGTTCTGAAGATGAATAATATTAATTTATTTTTATGAAACTTTTTGCGGTTGTAACAGGCTGTTAAACTATTCCGAGCCGAAAATCGTCAGAAATGCCTGTTTACTGTGACTTCCATGCGCGGTTCCTCGAACGCTCGGAGCCGTTGATTGTTCTCTATTATGCAATCGGCTTTAGCCAAAAAGCCTGTCTGCGCGGTCTTGGCCCATTCATTCGCACGTGAATCACTGGATCGCGTCCGGCTTAATTAACTGACCAGTGTAGCAGAGCGCAGACAGACAGGCAGCATGTACGGCGAATTTTCTGAGCCGTGTGTCAGTCACACAGCGACACAGCCCAGCTGCGGTGCAGCGTAGCGTGAACGGTCAGTTTGATTATTACCGGTCCTGTGGCCGGCAATAAAGCATGACCGCAGATTACACTGCACGATAAGGCAGGAAAAATTCCAGAAATTACCCAGCCTAGTCGTAAATCGGCCATTTTCCCGATTGAAATTTGATAAAATAAATTCCCTGCAAATTAGTTGTGTGGAAAATTGCGGTCGAATTGTCGTTCTTGGAAATTTTAAATTGTTGTTTGCGTGTTTTCGTCCGTTCCGTTGGAGCGAAGCGTATTTTGCACGATTGAGAATAGTGTGTGTGTTAAATTTCTGACCGATAAATCGTTCTTTAACCAGACGGGCAATAAATTTTGCTGCGCGACCGTAATTTCGAATTCTGCAGTTATCTGATCTAATTTCGAGATTTGTTGGTAAACACGCGTGTTAGGGCGCTCGTCTAAAATATGTAAATTTTTATCGAGCGCATCCTAGTTGAAAGGGAGTGGCTGCGTTTGAGTCTTTATGCGGAATCACGTAGCAAACGAGTTCGATGTTGATGATTTGGAGTGCAGGACAATTGCTGCAAAAATATGCGAATAATTTTCTCTACAGCCGCATCCGATTAAAATTTCACAGATAATATGATTTTAATTCACTAGAATATTAACCCAGAGTAATATTAAATTAACCCAATTTAATATTAAATGATAAATGCCTTCAATTCTTAAAAAATCGTTAAGTTACGCCACTACCTTGGACGTTCCGTAATAAGGAAAAGAAAATGAAATGTGGGAGTTTCGTACTGAAAAATAAAAATGAATTTCCATTTTGTCACTTTTTGGGCGACTTATTTTTTCTCTGACCTTGATGTTGCATCAATGACGTAGAAATTAATAACTATTAATTTTTAAGTGATTTACTTTCGTTAGATTGAGGAACTCGTATTTTCGTCAGATGAGTTGTCAATTCTTGCAGTGTCCGCGGTATTTAATCCGGATACCGACATCGTATTCACACCCTGGACACCGACCGGCATAAAATATGTCCAGCAGAATTCCACCGTGGAAGTCAAATGTTCAGCCATGAGCAATCGGATGTTATTTGTCGCCAATAGTACTCTGGAAAGTAATAGCACCGCTAAGTTCCGGTAAGCTATTTTCTGGTCTTATTATGCTTAAGAATGATTTAATTTATTTATTTGTAAAATTAGTTACCGTATTATTTTTTGAATAATAGTATCGAATTCCTTTGCGCGAAAATATCCGCCGATTTGTTTTACAGATTTGATGCGCCTTCAATGGAGCTGCCGGGTGATGACGGGAAAACGCACCGCTGCTCGCCGATGGCCTCCGCCAAGATTGAACATTTTGGCGCGGAGAATGTGGGTAATTATACCTGCTTGGTGACGATTGCCGGGAAAGTCGAGGGCCACCGAAGTGTCTTCATCAATTACTTCCGTACGTTACGCCTGTTTTAACGTAAAATAATATTATAAGATTGATGTTATCGTCAGTAATTAATTGAAAAGATGCATGAAAAATAATTTAAAAAATACCGCGGTGTTTTTACAGCCAGCCTGAATTTATCTGGAACACCGGAAGTCGTGTCTAGTCATCTCGGAGCCGACATGGTGGAGCTGGTGTGCAGCACGCCGACGGTGCCCCACTGGGCGTCGGGCGGGGTCACCGTGTACTGGCAGTTTCCCAACGGGACCAACATCACCACGAGTACGTTGTCTTTGCATTTTCTGTTAGTTTTCGCTCTCTGTTGTTGTCTCTTGTGCTCGTTGAAAGATGGAGAAGTGATTTTGAAATTTTAATTTGCAGCTCATGAACTGGTCCCCAAATATGCCGCTAACGGTTTGACGCTGACCATCACCAACGTGTCGCGGACCGACGCTGGAGCGTACAAGTGTATCGCCTACCAGGTGGTGCCCAACGCCAGCGACGACGGCAGCGATCACATCGATGTGGCGTCGCGGATGATTACGTTGGCCGTCGAACGTACGTGGTGAAATACTCGCTTATCCATTTTTAGTTTTAATTTTTCTTCGTTGTTCTGTGTGCAGATTTGTTGTCAGTGGTTGCGCTTCTAATCTGAAAGAATTTAAAAATTCAATTTTACACACTTATATAATTTATTAATTTAGCTGGTTATTTCTATTTATTACAGTTATTGATTATTTTACTTAGTTGTTTTTCGAGAAATTCATGGTGATTGGAGTGTTTATCGCAGGTGCTCCTGAGTTTTTTGAATCCCTGACCAAAGTACAGCGTGGTGCCGACAATATGGTCAATCTGACGTGCGACGCCGTCACAGGCGGCGCGGTGGATCCCGTATTTACCTGGTCCCGCAACGGAACGGAACTGCGCGAACTGGACGACAAGAACGCGCCGCCCTGCACACACCGCAGCTGCCCCATTCCGTTCAATGAGGACCATTCGCTGTTTGACGATATCCGCTGCACAGCCACGAATGCTTTTGGTGAAGCGTCCAAAGCCTTCAGAATCATCGATGGTAAGCCAAATTTGTTGAATGATAATTTTAAGCTCAGTTTTTAACACATTATTACTAATTATGAGAATTTTTCTTACTTATTGCATAAAGAATTCGGTATCACATTACGGCGAGTCCATCGTGCTGATAAGAATGTCTTGATTTTAACTTCTTTGATTAGTAAAGTAATTAATAATTTAATTTGTACCGTAAGCATGCAAATAATTCGAAATTTAATTAATATTTTTACGAGATTATTTTTCCTGATGATTGTAAGAAATCGGAATTTTTAATGCCGACATAACAGGAAATGAATTAAAATCTGGTACATCATTTGTCATTTCTGTAGGCGTCAGAACGGCTACCAGCATGGACGCCGTCCACCCGCCCGCTGGCCAGACCGGTCTCGTGCCGACTGTCCCGGGAGTCAACGTGGAAATACAGCCGAGCGCCGCGGCGGGTCTCGGAATGCAGGCAGCGCTCGTGGCCCTTATCGCCCTGTTTGTTGTGTGTGTGTAGATTGTGGAAACTGGAATGTGTATGTGTGTTGATGGGTTTGCGGTTTTCCTTGTTTAAATGACGGTTTTCATCGCGCTTGATATGAATCACAGACGTTCCATGATGTCCTTAGATTTGTTGGTACGTTTCAGCTTTTTGGTTTGACGCTTTACAAGGTTTCTATGGGGATTTCTCTCGAATTCTGTGAATCTTGATTATTATATTGGTGTCGTTGCATTATTTATCAGATGTGCTGTGCAAAAGCGGAATTCGGAGTTAACCTTCATTAAAATAATCACAGGTTTTGTATAAATTTCTTGGTATTTTCATGCGGTATAAAAGAGCCTTTAAAATATTCACAATATTCTTAAAATAACAGCGTCATGTAAAAAACATTCAGTGAAAGTTATCTAGGAAGTTAGCTAAATTATGTTATAATCGAGTTCGTAAAGGAGGTGAGTAGTTAGACCCGTACACCGTGTACGAACAATAAAAATACCGCTAAAAAAACCTTGCAAAATACCGTTATCGTTTTTAATTCCAGAAAGTCTGAATAAGAATTACAAGAACCGTTTTTAAAAAAAATCACAGCCGTTTCCATTCCACGTCTTGGCGTATTCACACATTTCGACGAACCAGTGAGTTAACAGCAAATACTGTACGACCAGTGATAACACCACAAAAAAAGGAACGAAAAGCGAAGAAACGACCGAATTATTCGAGGAAGTTCCACTTCTCCGGCGTATTCGCACAATTGCGAACAATAATAGCCAATACTGTAGACCAGTAATACCACCACAAAAAAAGGAACGAAAACTGAAGAAATTCATAAAGCTATGTTCGCGACTAAATAAATTTTGAATTATCTTAATAAACTAAATCTGAACCATACAGAAAAATATACACACCAGATTCACGAGCACTGAGAACGAACAGTTACCGTTTGAGTGGCTTGTACAGTGTACAAAAAAGCAACAGCTCACTTCGCAGTGTCGACAATGTCCGCCACGGCCAGGCGATTCTTCGTTTGCGTGTTGATAATTTTGTGGCGGATGCGGTGGTTCGTGATCACCCAGAGATCCATCATCCACTGAAAATCATCCAGCATATCCACCGTCAACAGACTCTTACTGTCCAGCCACGACAGCGCCACCGTCACATCCTCCAGGACCAAGTTATCACAGACCGCCGCCCACCGCGTCGCCATCTCCGGACGCCAGCGCTCCGAGCCCAGCGCAAAACGCAGGTAAATCCGCGAACGGGCCACAATAATTCGGGGTAGTTTCATCTTCTTGGCGTGCAGGATATCCGCCATGATATGCAGCGGACAGGAGAACCATCCCCGCTCCGTGTGCAGATTGGTGACGACCAGAGTCTTCGTGGAAGGCGTCACTAGGGCATGCATCACGTGGGCCAGCATCGCGCCGCTGCATTTGTTGGCGTCGATCTCCAGACGCCGGGCCAACTGCGGCGACTTAATGACGCTGTTCCAGGTGTAGCAGGTGGCGCTGGCAGCGGCGCGTTCGTTGACGTCCAGGAAGGTGAAGATGCGGGACAACAGCTCCACCGGGAGCCGGCGGATGTAGCATTTCCCGGTTGTGTCGGCCGGTGTGGCCGTAGTTTGCTCCTGAGTCGGTTCCGTCGTCGGCAGGCAGGTGGTACTGTGTCGCTGAAAACCGAATATAATTACTGCACCTATTAAATGCAACTATTATTTTTTAATGCAATGACAATATTAGAATATTTTTTTTTAATTTTTAAACTCTCTTTATGCTTAAACAGCTCTTCGACTTCAACGTCTTTTAACCGAACGAAGGGCAGAAAATAATAACAATTAGCACAACAAATACTCCTCGTATTTTGTAAAATTAGTTTTGCCGGTTCACAAGTTTCGAATAACGTTCGAAAAAACAAATCCCCCCGCTCACGGGAATAAATTTGAATATACAGTATTTTCAAATTTATTACCGTATCAGGCATTAAAAATCCGCTTAACATACGAAATATTTTTAAATTTTCCTACTGTAGGCAAAGCAGAAAAACATGCGAATGTACAGATAATCCCTGCAAGGCTTTGTAACGACAGTGCATCTTCACAGAATCTGCACAATCAGACCATGCGACCAATCTTACAGTTACTGTAGTTGATCTTACCACAACACGTGGAGATGATGCACCCTTCCGTCGTTTACTGCGACAATCACATTCTCCATTCCGACCACGCTTTCGTCCACGCTCCAGGTTCAAAATCCCCATACGCGTGAGAAATGTCTCCTGAAATCAAAACGATTTATCAGCAAAATTTCAACAATACCTGGCACCAGCCCGAGAGCGTTAACACACATGACTGGTTAAACTTACGGTATACATGATAAAACAATATAATCGTAATTCACAAATATAATAAATAAATTTTAGACAGCACTCTAACTTTTCTTATAATAAAAATCCATAAAAATACACAATACGTTATTTATCTAAATCCTTATATTTCATTCTGTTTTACTTATTTTTATTTCCAGTATTAAGTTCCCAAGATGAATAAATTACAAATAAATCATTAATAAACATTAAACAATAATAAATATTTTATTTATTACCTGCTATAAATATTTATTAATAAAACACTAATCAATTAAATATTTTTTAAATAATTCCATTACCTCTGTAATTAATCGCGGTATTTCCACCGAAGTAGCCAAACACGTCACCTGCCGCCCCACCACCCGCACCACGATCGTCTCCGTCACCCGCTGCCATTCCTGCGCGAAATCCGCCCGCCGCATCAGCGCGTCCATAGCCGGATGCGGATCCCCCGCCCGGCCCAGATCCACGCAGCACCTCTTAAACGGCATCGTACTGCTGTCCTTCTCCCAGCCCCACGCCGGCATACCCCCCGGGGCCTGCACCCGCCCCCACCCCACCACATCCCGCACCGTGCTCCCCTCTTCCAGACGGATCTCCACAAAGGCGTAGGCGTACTCCGCGCCCCCCGCCAGGAGGGTGGCGGGGTGCCAGCACCAGGGGTGGTGGGCACTCAACTGGTAGAGGACCTGCGCCGGGCCGCCCACCCCCGGGGGCGGCTGCCCCGCGGGCAGACGGCCCTGGACGAAGCTGGCGAAGGGGATGAGGTCGGCGTGGTGCGCGGGGTAGCCGAAATCGACGATGAGGCCGTGGGGGCGGTGAACGTCGATGACCATGCCGTGGCGCACCAGTCCATTGGCGTCTTTCACGTCGACGGCGCCGTAGCGCCAGATATCGTTTCGAAACATGTGTGTGCTGTAAGGCAGTGTAAGCCTGTTATGCTGTATAAGGAAATCGACGTTTCGAAATCACAGTAAACAAGCGCTACGTTAACGTGGAATAAACTGGGTACGCAGGGAATTTCAGAGGACTGATGCTTAGCAGCGAGTTCGATAAATAAATTAATATCGATAAGGAGAAAACAGAAGATAAAACGGAGAACCGGAAAAAAACAGGACTTCAACAGTGGAAATCACAAGATTCAGTCAAAGTTATTTTTTGCGCTCGGTCATGCTGAAACAAGACCGGAAATGATTTAAACCGCCGACTGGAGGTGGTGCAGCTGTCGCCGCTATTTTACACAGAATGCTTTGTACGCATAGGTACAGTATTTTTATTTCTGTGCCTGCTTTAAATTACTGTATTTATTTTTCATGTATTTTTATTTTGAAAATTTGAAGAGCACTCTACCGCCTACGATTTACTGAAAAAAGTGGAATCTGCAAAACTGCGTATTGAATTACAAAGTTGTATGATTTTTATGATTTCTCGGTAGCAGTTGTAAATTTATGACAATTTATTGCGGCCTTTAATTCACAAGTGAGCAGGTATGCTTGCATTTTACCAACACCTGGCAACTCATCAAAGGATTAACCAAACAGATCGACATACAGTAGCCTGGTGTCGGATGTCGAATCGGAAGATTACATATGCCTTGTATGTGGTACTTTTCCAGAATCATTTGCCGCAAAAAAATCTGGCGCCGAGCACTCTGTTATACGGATACCGTCCAACCTGGAAATAGCAAAAAAACGGTTAGCCGATTCCGTCTCTGATGTATCCAGGTATATGCGCATGCAGAATTTTGGCGAAAGCACAAATTTCAGGAACGGTTTAATCGGCGAAGAGAGTCAAGAGCGGCGTATTACGTTACAAGTACTCATAAATTTATTTACCATATAAGAGATCGAAAAAATGGCATACCGCGAAGGAAATCGAAACGCCATCCACGTCCTGTGAGCAGCGTATACAGACAGACAGGTCGTGGGACTACGCATATATTGACGTTAAATAATTACAGTACTATGAACAGCGGAACCACTGCACCACACTGATTCTGGCATGTTGATACAAAGGTCGGATTTCTTACCGGTAAGCGTAAAATTCTGAGTTGGCAACTGTTTGCCCGAAACGCGACGGGTCAAATGAGTACGAGGTAATTGCGTACAGCATTGTTGGGTAAAGCGAAAATTTGCAGCTTAACATTATAGAACAAAAAACAAAATTGTATCGCATTCAGGAATTGTACTGTGTACACATACTTAGGTACAGTACAGTACGTAGTACTAGTATCTGTATATACATACTGTACTGTATTGTACTGTACCTAGGTACGTGTAAATGAATACCAAAAAGAAGAAATATAAAAAATAAAATCTATGTAAATGTACTATCAGAAAGACGAAGTGCAAAAGAACCGAACACAAAGTTATAAGAAAAGCACATACTGAAACGCACCAGCTTTATACTAAAACCAGAATCGAAAAGAACCTGTTTATTCTTACGTACAGGAAATTTTTAATCTAAGAAATCAAACCGGTTTTGTAACTGCTGCTCTTATTCGGTCAATCAGGTTTTATCAAAATTACTGCGAAGAACGTTCAGAATAATTAACAACACATAGGGCAACGGAAATTATAAGAAAATATTCGTAGTGCGTACAACCCTTTCACCTTCATTTATGTAATCAGAATGACCTTTTCCTAAACTTTAGGCAGCAATTTAGTACGGAAGTTTCCACCAGATTGCAGCCTACCGATTAAAAAAAGGTCACCCTAACCAAATTTAGTTTCCACGGAATATTAAATTAAGTTGTTTCTCTGTGTGCTTCTTAACGGGCATCCAATAAATGACCTGCGCGGGCCGATGCCCATAAATATTTAGGGCCATAACTGGAGCCAATTTTAGCTTATAAAATTGTGCCCTTTCGAAGCAAGACATCTCCGTCATCGTCGCCCGCGCATAACTGTTTTTAACTTCGCCTTAATGGTTTCCTGCTACATGTTCACCTTGTTATCCATCATGATAAGAAAGGCAGACCATTTGAAGAGACGATAGCGCGGAAATTATCATCCCTGTGGAATACTATCGTGGCGCACTACACCTAATACACACGGCCATGTGCGGAGCTTTTACCTGGGTACATTCATCTAAGAAAATGAATTTCTTAGTCGGTCGTGTACATGCCCTGTCAATTTATTGTTAGGGAAGAAACTATACAGAACACGCTTGTAATTCAGCTTTTTTTACCTTGTCGGCTGATTTGAAGACTGAAGAATCGCCAAGGCATTGATCAGCCGGCACGCTCGTGCGCGGCGCACTCAAAGCAGATATTAACGTGTCGTACGTTAATTAACGATTTGTCGCGTGCATCCGAATCATCTGATTGATGTGGTCTTTTTACCCGGATCCCATGTTTGCGGGATTCAGCCCAGTATTACATGTAAGCTGTGTTTATAACTGCGTAACTATACACATAAAGCTTCAGTATAAACTGCAGCGGTTTTCATCAAATTAACGGCCGTAGCGACTAATACGTAATATGTACTTGCCGGTGATGTCTTTTTTACTGTATGATCTTTCTTCTAATTACTGTACGTTGGACGCAGGTTTTCATCAGTATAGAAACCGTACATTAATTTCTGTCAGTTGATTTTATAGCTGTCTAGACGAAGTGTCCATAAAAAGTACTGTTAACAAAGTGCTACAGGTTTTCTTGTGCTTTTATATAATATTATTTAGAAACATTTGCCGGTTTTGCCGTTTGACTTCCTAATGGTACACGCGCAAGCGCACTATTACTGATCCTAAATATTCGATTTAATCGTTGGATTTTTTGTGGTCATTAATTTACAATCTTCGATCTGTATACAAAATCCTTCGAGCACGTTTATATCGACTTATTCAACCTTCATCCAATAAGCAGCGACCGACATTTTCGAGTAATTATCTACTACGGTTGTGATTGACCTTCTGGTGCCCATATATATCGATCCTGTGACCGTATATGCGGTGTACACCTATACCGGCACTTGGGACTGTTTCAATTAGGCGGAAGTCTGTTTTTCCTTCCCTTTGATCCGATCACTGAATGAGAATCAATACACAATGGATCCAGTGGGTCGATTCTGGGGCAGGTACAGCTCAACGCGTGTCCCCGCATAAGTTGTTGATATAAGGCAGCATTTATTCAATCAAAGTGCTGAATATTGCACCGCGCGACAAGGCTCCGGCCCGAGTCACTCCATCCGCAAACACTCACCGGCTATTACTTCCCGCAATATGTCCCGTCAAGCCGTTATTTACTACTTGTTCTAGAATCCACGGTTTTTATCACCACTCGGGGGAATTTTATTATAGTTTTGCGACATGGATGCCGGTAATGCGACGAATTTTACACGGATTGGGCCCAACACAACCGACATCAAGGCGTACATAACGTACCCCGGCTGGTTGACCTTTTGGTTTATTGTGATGATTTTCTTATGCATTCTGGGCGCCTTTTCCAATTCGTTGTTGTTTATGGCGATCGTGACCTCGCGGAAGCTGCGCAAAGGGTCGGGGACGTTGATTGCGCATTCCATTCTGATTGAGGCGTTTCTATGTGTCATCGGCGTGCCGCTGATCATGGCGTCCACGTATATGCCGCAGTTTGGTTGGCCTTCGAAGACCATGTGCAAGTGGACGATGCTGCTGTTCTATGGACCGATTTTTGCCGGGACGTGGGCGTCGGTGCTGATCGCCATTAATCGCTTCGTGGCGATATTCTTCCCGCACGTGTACTCCAAACTGACGACACCGCCGCTGTTGGCGCTGGTTATTGCCCTGGGCTGGGCGGTGGCGCTGGCCAGTTCGGTGCCCATGTTCTTCGAAGCCGGCGGAATATCTGTTGGGGTAATTTGTTACACATTTTGTAAATTCGTTCATTTATCTGCAATTGTTCCGTTGGTTTCTCGTTACTACATAATTATTTTATGCTGTCAGTGCAAATTACTATTAATTTCCGAGCGAAGGGTTAATGTTTTTATTGTAACCCGCCGCTCCTACTTGCGTAGGCATGCACGATGATGTACAACACCATATTACAATACACGATAGTGTATCTACGTTACACATTCCTTGTACTTTTTAGTACGTACCGGTAATTACGCGATTATCATGATTATTCTATGTACATAATACAGCTTTAATGTTTAAAGGAATCTTGTGTACTAAGCACGGTCAGACAAAAGTTATAATTGTCAGCTACGGAATTTCGGTGGCGCGGCTTTTGTATTCATACTATCCACAGGAATACCGCCAGTCGGCAAACAATATGCCCTTTAATTAAAATATGTAGACTTGCCGTATAAAGCTTCTGCAGTAATGCAACAATTGGCACCTGCAGCGTCGATAACACGTATTAGCAATATAGTATTACCGGGAATCTGCATAGCATTACCGTAAGGCTTCGCCTTATCGTCACCATGATCGGCGTCATAAAGCAGTTTACGGAAGTAATCGCACCGGCAGTGAGATGAAGCGTATTTTTGAACAATTTTCACTTCATTCACATTCTCGTGAAATATTTGATAGGAGTGTCGTGTTTCTTAAAAATCGAAATATAAATATGTGCCACAAATTAGGGTTTGTTGAAAGATTATTGATACTATGATCGAAACAGCAAAGCAAGGCCGATCATAACGACAAATATCCATTTGTTTTGCTCCATATAATATTTTTATGGTCATAAATAAATATTGCATTCTGCCACTTTCGTAAGCAGATCGATGGGAAATACTTGTACATTAGCAACTGACGTTTTTTGCAAAACAGCTACGATAACAGACTTTTCCTCAAACATCTTGCTTCGATTTACTTGTAATCATTTCTTGGTGACGTATGCTAGCTATCAATTTCACCTGCACAAGTAGCGTAAATGTGCCTAATGCAGCGAAGCGCTTGTGTCGCCTATGGAGCAAACAACAAATCAACGTCATTATTACCTTTAATGCGGCTTGCGGTAACACTAATCTGCCACGCACGTCACTGCAATAATCTCCGCCGGTGATCGGAGTGCGGTGGTTCTCAAAACACCGAATTCGAGAAAATTATCTTTTATCGTAAACTCTTCAAAGCTTAACAAAAACAGGAACGTTAGAAAAATGACAGACTTAATATATTAATACAGTATATACAATTGTTACATAATATATGGATATAATATAATTATGATATATGATTGTTAATATATTATCATCGTATGGTTAATTATATGAAATACATTTATTTTACTGAATTGAGTTTTGCTATTCACCGTTTTGGGCTTAAGCGTCAAGAGATCCGTTTACAATTTTGTTATTTAAAAAAAATGGTATTTTGCAGTACGCGGTATTGTTTGACTCCTTAACAATCCGAAAACAATACAGTGGAGGCGTTAGTTTTAGTACGCGTAGATTTAACGTTCTTTTGTTGTTAGACAGAGGAAGCGCAGCAGAATTTTTAATTTAATTACTGGTTGAGCCTTTTGTATCCCCACTTGAGTATATAACACGCTGCATACCGTTGGTACAATTTTGCAAATAATACTGGGATGGGCTTCTCTCCGCACACCACTGTTTGGTAATAATAACGAGAATGCAATGTCAAATAGTACTTCACTTTTTACAGAAGTATGCTTAGATATACTGTACACTGTACCAGTTTATATAATCCGCGCAGTATGCATTATGGAATGAAGTGTATGTTGCGACTATTGCACTTGTTTCAAAAGGTGTTATAAAGTGCTAATTTACACTATGTACAATGCTAGAAAGTGGTATTCTTTTAATGCTAATACTACGTAATCCAACTGTTAACACCCGTCAATGACCGCTAGATTCACACCCACATAATATTTCTGAATGACCTTTGTGTATTTGCACCCACACCGTTAATCGTTTTACGCCACATATACGCTTTGATCGACAGTACTGTTGTCTTCGTACAAATGATAGGCGCTTGTAATGCAATCGTTAGTAAGACAAAATAAACATCAATTTTTACGCTCATTTAAACGTTTCTGATAATCTTAATATCAGCGATTAAGCAGCGCTCACTGTGGTAACTTATGGTGTACATTAAGTTGTAACTTATGGTGCCCATACATACACGTGACCTTCAATATTTACAAACTTTGTATAAATGCAAACATACATACAAACATTGTTCAATATATACAAACCTGGTTTTGGTAGCGATATATATGTATAATAATTACACGAAAAAGGTCGTTATTCACTGCGCCCCACGTGTTGATTGTTAGCAGAGCCAAGAAAATTACCCTAATAAAAAGAATTCGTACCACTTTCAGGCGACGAAACCCTGGTATGCCTGTGGCGCACGCCAAGAGAAGCCCGGCTACTTATACAACTTCCTGGTAACCGTGGGGACCACCGCGCCGGCCGTCGCACTGGGAGTCATCTACGTCAGCATCTTTACCCTGGTCATCATTCGGGCGCTGATCTTTCGCCGGAAGATCGACACCACCGACAAGGCGGCCGTGGCGCGGAATCAACGGGCGCAGGCCATGACGCAAAAGCGCCTGAAGATGGCCCGTATGCTCTTCGTCTCCTACATCTGGTTTACGGTCTGCTACATGCCGGCCCCGGTGACGGCCAGTGTGGCGCCGGTGCTCTATGGCACCAGTCCGCTGGTGTCGCTGTTCCTGCGGATGCTCCTGGAGATCGGCTATGCAACCAGCCCGGTAGGTGGTTCGGTTTTCCCCTGCACAGTACCACGTATTGTTTAGTCAACCGAAACGTTTTCCGCACGATGCATTACGCAAAATAATATGTAAGCCGAAATCTCTTTTGTCGGACTTGATTTCTGCTAATCATGATGTGACGTACAACCAACCAAACAAGCTCAATCAATTTTTTTACCTAGATTGATTTTTATTATTTTACGTTGTAATGCATTTTCCTGCTTTTTGTAATCATGATAGCATGACTTCGACACGTGCTTATGTAATACAACAACGCTTTTTCATTCCAGGTCATCTATTTAACAATGAACGCCGAATATCGAAGTGCCGCTAAACGCGTACTGTACCGCATTTTGCGCCTATGCCGGCCGTCGCTGTTAATACGAGACGACACGATTAAGATTGTAACGGAATACGAAATGGGAAAGACACCGACAAATAATGGCATTTCCGCTTAAAAAATGTGACTACATACAATGTTACGTTCCTTTTAATCACGGATTTATGAAGCTAATCTCTGGACGGGTGAAAATTACGGAAATATTGTGCAGTTATTCCAGGCGCGTATTACACCAACGCTTTAAATGACCTTTGCGCGGAACTTATTGATTCTCCCTCACGTGTGCATTTTGCTCGTGTGATTGTGATACATCACAGAGACAAAAAATTAATAAGCGATTTTAATTTCAAAACTGAAATTAAAAAAACATTATTGCGCGATCATGTTTCCCGGAAGTGAATCAATCCACAGAATGGGCAGAGTGCTTTCCGTGCTTTCGGTATCTGCCTATTACAATACTGAGTAATTAATTCGTAAAACGCTATCTAGTAAGATTACTCTAGGAATTGGAAACACGCGAGCAAGAGATCAATTTCGTGTCTTTTTAGCATTCAGATTTTGACGTATAATTAAGTAATGTGGGTGTTGTTAAGTAATTATTAATCACATGTTAAGGACGTTTGTACATTAATTACCCCTTATAATTTTACCCATTTTAGAACTTAGACCAACACACGCGAACAAATGTGTGCTTTTTATTTAATATCTGATATTCTCATATTTGGCATCTTTAGCCATTTTTGGTAAAACTACTGTAATAACCGTTGCGGAAACTGGATAGCCCATTACTTAAGAAAACGTGCAGTGCGTAATTAAATTGTACCATATACCCGTACGTTATATATCGGAAGAAATTTATTGAGTACAGTACTGTATACAAGTAAAGTATCAACCGAGTCGACATCTATATTAAATTTCTAGTTAAATTCGTGCAAGGTAATTATCCTATATCAAATAATTTTTGTACTGTTGTATGCACAAAGTCCCACTGTCGGTGTCTAACGTTACATACATGTTCTTTCAATCATTCTTTATAATGTTCAAGATATACAGCGTAGCGCCGGATGTGTTGTCACGGTCTGGAAGCGCAACGGCAGCAAGCCGGTATGCGTGCCATGTGGAAGAGCTGGACACGCGCCAGCTGTACCAGTTATTTATATGGTTTGCATAGGAAGATCTGTCGCCGGCATCGATTAGCAAATGTGTACGCGATGATGCTACCGCAATCGCATCCACGGTAGCACTATAGCACGCCAAGATCGCTCTTGTCGTGCTGCATCGAATATTGCTAAATTGTTAAGAAAAACCTTCTAGAGTTTAGTACTGTGTATTTCTCGAAAATTTTAGAGCATTTTTATTAATAATGTCCGTAAATTCCAGGCTTTCGAATCACACGTCTGCTTGAAGATGCGTGTGGATTGTTCTTTGCTAAAGCAAATGTACCACTGCAGATACATCGCACTCAGTGTTATGAAGGTTCTTTAGACTATGTTCCCGTGATTCCCATAAGAGTTTGTGATGCTTACTCGACGCGTCCATTAGTGTTTTTCCAGTAATGCCGTTACGGTTATCATTTCTGAAAACCTTATTTGATCCGGACGCGTGGGCTAGTCTATGTCGTTCCAAAACGCACAGCGGACTGGATGCGCGAAGTCTGGAAGCCTTCCGGGCGCTGACGCATCTAATTGGATCCGTTGGGGTGGTTTTCGCCACCCTCAGCAGTTTGCTAGGTACATAATATTATTATGCTATAAAACTTTTGGATGTCGAGCAAGGTTTTACCTTTTACGCAAACCAAATTAACAAATTAAAGCCTAGAGGCTAGATGATCTATACGAAGCAAAGAAAGCTTAAAATCTGTTAATCGTAAGTAACACGTATTATCGATTGATATTAATGATAAACATCATGCCCAAACACTAATTAACGAAACTCAAAAAAATGTAGTGCACGAATGACGCAGAGGGTCCTGTATATACTGTAGTATAAATATTGTATCATCATTTTATGTTGTTGTAATACAACGGTTGTCAGTGTTAAAATGTATTGACACAGGTTTGCTTACCGAAATCTTATTAAGTTCAAATAATATGCACTTACCGGTTAGTTCTTAATTTGTTTCCTAGTGTAAGGGCGGGGCGCTCCGCCCTCCTGAGTAGCTATTCGCTGTTTCTGGGGATTTCCACCCCGCACATTGCTGCGCTGTTTTGACGGATCTGCAGCACAGTTGCACTGGCTGCAGATTCCTTCCTTGTTAGTCTGGTGTTGCTGCGCCACGGTGCGCATTAGATTCGGCAATAAAGCCTCATCCGGGTTCACCGCTGTTCGCTGTCGAGGATACGCGTGGCGCCCATACGGCCCCGCGTTATACTAGATCCTCCATTTGCTGGTGTGAGTGTTTCCGGTTATCGTTTTCAGAACACTTTTGCCGATAACAGCAACGTACCCTTGTTTTTAATAAGCACAGACGTTTGCCAAAATCGTCCCCACAATTCGTAAAAAGATACACCCGAACATCTATCTATATCAGACACAGTGTTTTTATTTTCTGATATAAAAACCGGATCAAAGAAAGTGCAAATGTGACCTATCATTTGCTTATTTGAATTGTTCATCGTACGCCTTGTGTATACAAAAATAATACAAACTGTAGTATTCACTGTTCATCCGTTGCAATATTAAATTCAATGTTACAACATGTGTAACTGACCGTAATACATCCGGCCCTTTCAGCCGTCGCCATGTGGAAAGTGGACAACTACTTCTGGATGCTGTTCTTCAACGCCACCATGTGGGGCCTGATCGCCTTCACCGAGATCACCACCTTCTTCCGCCTGCCCTCCCCCGGCAAACCGGCCCGCGTCAGCCACATGCTGCGCGTCCTGCGCGACCACACCCTGGGCGTGGCCTTCGACACCATCATCATCTTCTTCTACCTGTACCAGTTCACGCCGTCCCACGTGTCCTCCATCACCCGCCGCATCGTCAGCTTCGGGCCCTTCGCCGAGCGCGACACGGTGGCCACGCACTCGGACGCCGAGGTCACCGCCCGCGCGCTGGGCACGACGGAGGACGACCGGGTCGTGATTATCAATGTGTTTGGCGGGGCGTCGTTCGTGGCGCTGATCCTGCTGTGCGTGACAGAATGGATGTGTGCCGTGTGTTATTTCCAGGCCACCCAGAGTCGATATGTAAAGGTCAAGGAAGCCGAGCCGCTGGAGCGGCGCTGAGCGGGAGGCCGTTGATCGTGCGCGGGGAAGCCGATTTGTTGGAAATGTTTTTATTATTCCGATAATCGAATAGGAGAAATGTTTGCTATTATTTGAAGGAGCGATGCTGTCACTGATCGGTATATCGGATTTTATTGTGTTACAATGATAGTTATTGTATTATTGTACCAGCTTGTTGATACTGCCGTGAAAATGCAATATCGATGTGTTGTACCTGTACAGGTTCAGATGTATCAGACTAAATAAATGCACACTTTTTACCAGATAAATGGCACAAATACTGTACCATACTGATTGTGGATGAGAAGTGCAAATGTTCGTAACATTATAGAGACCTTTGGAAAAACTTTGGGCATCTGGAACGATATCATGGGTATTGGTACGGTACGATATCAATATTGGTACAAAGTACAAAGAAGTATATAATTTTTAACAAAATAGCGATTAATAATGTGTGTGAGCTTTGTGTTTTGATTAACCATATAATTAATATGAAACTATAATACTGTATGTACTACTCTAAGTCTAGGGATCTTTCACTGCAATACCTGCAATCGTAATTGCTAAAGCGAAATTCGTGCGTACCATTACAATGCACAGTATTATAGTATATAAATACTGCAGTAAGTTTAACTGAATGATTTACAGTACTGTATAATATTGTAAAACAAAAAAGAGCGGTAAAATACTGATAAGGTACAATAAAAGTCCGGTGTGAACGAAGACATGAAGTGCATCATTGACGCAGCAAATAGTTTGTACAGATCGGTACAATATCACATTATAACGGCATCCATCCTGGGAACGACGCCAGCCTCGGCTAATTTAGATCAAATGTTCTCTGTGATTCGGCCGCATGTCTCCGCTGTCTTTTGATGCTGTGTGACGCTTGTGTGTGTTTGGATGTTTAAACTGGCTTAGCATTATAACACAGTAAACAATCTGCAATCTACATACCGTGGGCCGTGGCATATGTACGGTATATCTGTATTTGCCCGGTCACGCTCCATGTACCGGTATCCTGTGCGACATCCCACTTCCGTCTACATTCAAAATATGTACCAAAACATGAAACTGCAAAAATGGATGCACCAGTGTCATAATGTTACGTCAAAAGTCCATTCCCATAAAGGGAACTTACAGGAAATCTGTGCCATCTTACAGGCTACAGCGATCGTTCCAGTTCTTAAGTGGACACCCATCCGGTTTCAGGTCGGTCGATCCAGGCCTACATTTCCACAGAAGCCATCCGGAAATGCTGACCAGCAAAACTGTCCAACTCGAAAAGCAACTTAATCTGCAGAAATGCCGAAATATGTTCACGTGCCACTCATTACAACCCGGCTGCACTTGACCGGCAACCCACTACTATATATAGCCGAACATTTACATGGACAAAAATTGTAATTTGCATTTATTACAACATATATATACGACTCGTAGACGAACTTTACGACGCGTGTATATAAGTATATAATTGTCAGAAGAACATCATCAAGCCGGAAACAATGTTGCCTTTATTAAGCATTTTCTTAGCTTCCTGGGTTCTTGTGAACACTCACGCGCAACCGCCGCCGCAAGGCGGCGCACCACCACCACCACCACCGGGACCGCCACCGCCGACCGCATCACCTCCACCGGCAACGGCATCGCCGCCACCCTCAGGGGGTGGAGGCGGCGGTGGGGCAAGCCCCAGACCATGCCCGCAATCGCTCCAGAACGGCGGCATCCCCATGAGCTTCCCGTTCAACTCCAACCCCATTCCCTGTAATGCTCCAGCGCCCCCTAACCAGATCTATCCCGAAAATATTTTGGCGGTGGACAAACTTAGATATTTGTGGGGTAATGTTAACTATTGCCCGTATACCTCCCCCTACCCGACGAATTTAACCGGCGCTCCCGTGGTCAACCAACTGGTCAATATCACCTTCGACGAGGGCAGCTTCCTGATTTCCGGGGATGAACTACAACCGCCGCTCCGCCCTAAACTCCTCCACACTTACGGCACCACTGCGCTGGTGTCCTTAGAAATCTTCTGCAATTCCACTTACACCGGTGTCTTCCAAGCCGGAGAGGTCAGCCCGGGTTTGATGCGCTTCTCCCTGGGCAGCATCGCCAGCCAGAGCACCGCCTTCGGTCCGTCCATCGCCATTAAACTGCTGCAAGACTTCGAACGCTCCGTCAACATCTTGGCCATGGACAATCCGGACGGCCAGGGCACCAACCGTAACTTCTTCCTCAAGACCTTCTCCAACTTCCGCCCGGCACCGCTGGTACAAGCGAATATCGACTTCCTGAAGATCTTCCACGCCGCCATCCTGGATTTGCCCGGCACCAATAAGGCGCCGGCCGGGGTTTGCACACAGCCGTTGGATGAGAACCGGCTGCCGTTGTACACGGCCTCGGCGGTGGATACCCCCAAGAACCTGGTAAAGAATCCCTTGGAGGTTCGTTTTATCCCGCTGGTGTCTACCGACGCGGCCAGTACCAACGACTTCCGGGTGGATTTGGCTAATACCCTTAATAACAAGGTCGGCCAGCCGATCTATCTGGTGGCGTTGCGCGATACCGAGACATCGCAGGACATCACGGTCGGCAAGTTGATATTGCGCAGCAATTTGGTGGCGTCGTCCTATCAAGATACCAGACTGTTCTTCCAACATCCCCGAATTCAACAGTGCGGAGCATAAAACAGTTACTTTGATTTACTATAACTGTGCAGTCATCTAATTATTTTGATTGGGTGGTACCGGGGTTTATGTATCAGATGGAATTTTTGTAACGGTGAAGCATCGTTAGTTCTGTAATTTCCGTGAAACATGTTGGAGATTAATTTATATTGATAATAAAGCTATATATTGTGTAAGGAATTTGAAAATGCGATTTAATTTTCTATTGCTGTGATTATTTTGTTCGATTGTGGGGTGTATTCACAGATTTTCATAAGTGTCGGGTACATTTTTATTTCCAAGAATACTGTTGTCAGCGTTTCCGATTGTTATATTATGGGGTTGTTTTACTCTTAAATTTTGTTTTCTATTGCGCTTATGCAAATGCCTTTTCCGTTGGAAAAAATCATGTCGCAAAATAAAACACTTGGATACACGGCATTTCAAGAAACTCGGATCCACGCTAGAATTTTCAGTTTTTTTCCAACATAAAAATTCTTCACTAGAGAAAAAGGAGACAAATTTGCTGAGCTCTTTAATAAAAAATGCCAGTATTTAATTGGAGTCTGAGTCAAGCAGCAAGTACTTCATTTTCGTGTATAACGCCCAAACTGAAAAGATTCGTTGCATGTATGGCTTCTAATATAAGTTAGACTGCGTTATGGGTCGTATCATGGTACACCCCGGTCCAGACACCGACCAAATATTCGGTTCTGCGACTGCTCCACTGGACGTAAGCTGACGGTTATCCAAATACACACATGCAAAGTTGGGGGGCTTCACAGCTCTAAACAATGCATGAAATTGTGAAAGGCAAAGCCAAAAAATTTTCTCCATGGTTCTAACAGGACCGCAAACTAATAAAGGATACGGCTGGGATTGCGAATAGTTCGATGTGCTCTTCGATAACGGATCATTATGAGTATGCGGCCTGAAATACTGATCCGTCAGCATATATAATAATATGCAATTACAGTATACTTGTATAACTTGTGCCTGCAACAGCCAACCTGTGCCTTCTTTCTGAATTACATACATAGTTAATCAATAATATAGTTGTATTATCTCGTACTTCTCAGGGACAGATTTTCGGATGCGGGATATCCGATATGTTAGTACATATCTATAGATCGGAGGTACATTACAGTAGGTGATTTTGGATGATAAACAAAATGATGACAATGATTTTGGATGATGAGCAATAAAATCCACTGTGGGCGTGTTAGCGGCCTTTATTCCTGTCTAGACGAACACCGGCAGCAAATTGAATAAAAAAATTGTGCACACATATGGACACCGCTGACTGCATGTGGCTTACTCTGTAAAGTCGCTAACTTACTCATACTCACGTAATAACTAAATGTCTTGGTATTTTAAAGCATAATTTAAGCGTACGTGGTATTTTCTGCAGAATTATTAATCCAAAACACATTTTTGTCGATAAATCATTGTTCATATGCATTCAAGATGACATGATATTAAAGGGCATAAAAAGATCAGAAAATTCACGCACGGAAGCAAATTGATCATCTTTGTATTCTAATATAGGGATAACGAGAAGAATCGTGAGCTGTAAAGTAACTATAGTATTGCGCGAAATATGTACAGACTCATTTTTACCAGTACGACGTGGTACCCAGCATTATCTCGGGAACGGTGAACAGAAATTCTTTGCGCAGTAACAAATTTTGCATAAATGCCACGTTAAAATGCAGCAGAGTGCGTCATTTGCTTCCTTATCAAAGAGGTAAAGTGGGCTCGCTGTACCGGCGACAAGTGTCGATCCCTGTGGAGTGACGACAGTACAGACCTTTAATTGTACCGAATAATCAAAACCGCAACCTTCAATGAGATCACTTCATATATACTGTTAACCTGTGTCTCAGCAGGCACTCAGCGGTTTCTGCATTGTCGGCGCATTTCTCCCAAGTCATGCGCAATTATTTAATTTACATAGACAACTGTACGGCTCCCTTCTTATGCACGTTGTATATAAACAAAGCGCAGATGTTTCAGTTATCACACAATTCCGAGAACAATCGCTTTCCTCTGAATCTCCTCTCTATTTTAATTGTGACATACTTGTACCGTTTCGGTAAATAGAATGTCAAAAATGTTTTCATTTTTATGTGTCATTGCCTGCTTTGTCAATTTGGCGGCCAGTCAACACACTGACTTCGAACCGGAAATCCAGGGTTACTCCTTCAACCGTCCCGGCCCACCCGGACCCTCCCAATTCCCGGCACCACTTCCCCGCGACTACGAATCGTTAGATTGTGTCGTGAAACAGGATATTCTCTGGAGGAACATCGCCGCCAAACCCTATCCGACCAACGCCATGCCCACGATCAACTTCCAGGTGCCGGTGACCAATCAGCTGCTTAACCAGAGCTTCATCATCCAAGCCTTCACCCTGACCGGCGACGAATTCCCAGTGGACAGGCCCAAACTGATCCACACCTACGGGAGCACCGGAAAGGTCACCCTCGAGATCTTCCGCAACTCCTCGTACAGCGGGATGTTCGCCGCCGGTTCGATGAACCCCGGGATCATCCGGTTCTCCCTGGGCGATATCACCGCGGCGAGTTTCGGACCGTCGTTTGCGCTGAAGTTGTTTGTCGATCATCGACCCTCCGTGAACATCGTGGCGATGAATAATCCGGATGGACAGGGAACTGACCGGAACTTCTTCTCCAAGACCTTCACCAATTTCCGCCCGGCACCGATGGATGCGAATAATATCAAATTCGGGAAGATCTTCCATGATGCGCTGCTGACGAAATTGTCCGGCGGAGAGTGCCAGCGGCCGCTGGATGAAAACCGTCTTCCGGTGTATGATGTGGCGGCGGCGTATGCCGGGCGCCGGGTCAACGCGCCGACGGTACTGAAGTTTATTCCCAATCCCGCGGTGGGATCGGATCCCAGTAGTCAGGCGGATTTCCGGTTGAATTTGAACCGGATTCGACCGGAGTCGCTGTTGTATACGGTAGCGGCAAAGGCGACGGAGAACAGCCGAGAGGAGATTATTGGGCGGATATGGCTGAGAAGTCCGCTGGTGTCGTCGGAATATCAAGATAAACGACTGCTGTTCCAGCATCCCAGGATGCGTTGCTAGATTTTTTCTGCTTTGTTGCAGCTGTTTTAAATTGGTTGTAACGTTCACGGTGATTAGCGTGTCAACGCGAATATCATGAATTAATAATTTTGTGTTGGGCTTATTTATTATATTTAGGAATTTCATTCATGGCAAAACCAATATTCGGTTTGCTGTATCAAAATAAAATTAAGTAATGATTAAAAGTAAAAACTTAAATACTTAAGTAACACGTTGGCGGTTGGATCATCTAAATCTGTATTTTGCGCTGCCAAATAGGCGGTATCCGTGACCTCCGCCACCGAAGCCATCTTTCCGTTTACTCGAATGTCTTTTATTTGTTTGCGGTCCTGTTAGAACCATGGATAAATTTTTGGATTTTACTTTAACACTAGTTTCACGCTTATACCAAAGCTGTTAAGCAACGGTTTCTGCATGTAATCAGGGATTAGTGGCTTTGCGGACAGTCCCTGAACCAAATGTTAGTCAGTTACCAGGACCGGGGTGCATAAAAAATGCGACCCATAACAGCTGTACGCATGCATCACAATCCGTACAGTCCCCAAATCTTTTCAGCTGTTGTCTAATTTTCAAAAACGACATGCTTGATGCCTGATCTCCGTTCAAGTGAAATTTAGACATTTTTTGGCAGGGTGTTGTATGAATTTCCCTTCTTATTTTCATATAAAAGTTTTTTTTTATTTGAGAAAGTTCAAAATTTTAAACATTCGAGTGTTAGTCGGTCTTTTATCAAAGTGGCCAGTGTGATGACATTAGTGACATCCTTAATCCCTATCACACTATATGCTGTGCATGTTCGTTCGAAACTTCATGACGTTTTTTTATTTACCCCGTTTCCATAACACACAGAACAAAAAATTCCTGTGCTGCACGAAGAATAGAGTAATACGTGTACAACTATGCAAAGAACAGTGCGCAAAAGCGAAAATGTTCGTAAATGTGCATAAATTCGGTACCATGTACCGCGGTATTTGTTAAGCAAACAATGCACGGTGATGGAATAACAGAGTTATCGATATTATGATGCGTGTAAAAATTTTATATGTAGATATGCAGTACGTGGGTTTTGATTACAAAACGTGTTATAATTAGGACTGGTTTCCGACAAAACGAAAAAAACGCCTTATATTATGCCACTCTTTGCTTGCTGAATGATTGTGGTATCATGTGTGAAAGTATACAAGTGTTCCAGTCTCGAGAAATTCTTCTTAAACTCCGTTACCTGAGGACTGTATAACGTTCGATCAAGTCAGTTAAGTATATCGTATTTCAAAAATATTATTTTTAGAAGTTTGTTTGATCAAAACATTGAAACTTTCTACAAAAGTAGCATTTTGCGGTAACACGAATATCTAATCCGGCCTTTTATGCAACGAATCTCTGCCAAATGCGTGATATTAATTGGGTTAAATTTTTGTTTTCATAAGGGGACTTTGAAATCACAATTTTTTTTATATTTACTGCATTTGCTGCTTCGCTCGCTTTTAAAGACAGATGACCATGACCAAGAAATTGGTATAATTGTTACCCATTTTAAACTACGTATATATATGATATCCATCTATATGAAGAAAACACGAAGTGGCGTTTTCTTGTCTGCTTCGCAGTCAGCGAAAACATTCCGTCGCGGACTCGCTGTGCAAATTACGTATTATTATTCGTGTACTATAAATTTGTAATTAACGGTATAGTTAGGGACCATACACAAACTATGTACAGAACGAATTTTCGGAACGTAGATTATAGATAGTCCCTTACAGTATCTCCCTTTGTGTAACTTGATGCTTGTGCTGTGCTAAACCACCCCCCTAAAATGTGCGAATCAGAATCGTGTAACATTTTTGTTGCAGACTTTCCATAGACCGGACGAAAACAAGCCGTAAACTAAATAGTGTACAAAGACTACCCGTATGGTCGTTTAAGTGAAACACTATGATGAGTGAATGGGCGATGGTCGTTTAAGTGAAACACCCGAAATAGCATTTTCCACAAACCGATTTTCGTTTGGATTTCACTCTCATACGATTAAACAGAATGTACCCTTTACAGAGTACTTGAAATTTTTAAAAAAGCTTGAACCGTTTTCTTGCAAATGTCTCGCAAAGAAATCAGTGACGAAAGCGTTTTAGCCACGCCACGACTGCCACTGCACTACGCTCAAACATGTGCAATCACTGCCATACAAGGGTGGCTGTACCATCACCGCATTTCCGGGTGGCTGTACCATCACCGCATTTGCGGTGGCTGTACCATCACCGCATTTGCGGGCTGTACCATCACCGCATTTGCGGGCTGTACCATCACCGCATTTGCGGCTGTTAATTCGATTCAGGTAAATTTATGTTCAACGGAATTTTTTTTTCGTTCTTTGAAGCTGGTGTCTTCAAACTAAATTTATTTTGGTTTAGATAAACTTCTTACACGGCGATGGTACAGCCACCCATGTATGGCGGTGATGGCAAATATTTGAGCGTAGTGCAGTGGCAGTCGTGGCGTGGCTAAAACGCTTTCGTCACTGATTTCTTTACGAGACATTTGCAAGAAAACGGTTCAAGCTTTTTTAAAAATTTCAAGTACTCTGTAAAGGGTTCATCTTGTTTAATCGTATGAGAAAAAAATCCAAACGAAAATCGTTTTGTGGAAAATGTTATTTCGGGTGTTTCACTTAAACGACCATCGCCCATTCACTTATCATAGTGTTTCACTTAAGCGACCATACGGGTAGTCTTTGTAATTATTCTAGTTTAACCGACTGCCAACTGGTGTCAGTCCGCTCCGGAAAAGATCAGTTAGAAATTTTCTTTTAGCATGCAACAAGCAAAATGAATTAACGTTGTAATGGGCAAAGTACAGATTGTAACATGGAAAAGAAGCACAGCACTGTCTCCATCTATTTTTAGTGTGTTTTAAAGTGCCGGTGATATCAAATGTCCTACTAAATTATTCTACATGTGTAATGCTTATCATCTACGCCCCAGTAAATGTTATGCTTTTATCAGGTGCAAGTATTGTACCTACATGTACTTACTGTATGGCGTATGCCTTGATTACAACAAATCAGGTCTTGATGCTCGTATACTGCACAAAGCCACAAACGTTACTAGCAGTGAGGTTCACAACACCAGAAAAACGTTTCCCAAAAATGGATTTGCATTTCAAACTATTGATTATAGTCATACTTTCGACTTCTGTGGCCCTTGCGCTGAAACGCGAGCCTGACGATGAATGGGAGGCATGGAAAAGGCAGTTTGGTAGGCAGCAGTAGCACCTAACACGAATTCATCCGTATGTTGCACAATACTTTTGTGAATTGTTAATCTTGGGTAAAGTATGCTTTTTTGCATCTGACAGGAAAAAACTATGAGGATGCCGATGCTGACACATTTCGAAGAGCTATCTGGGAGCAGAATGTTCAGAAGGTCACGCATCACAACCTGAAGTTTGATGCGGGAGAAAGTTCTTTCAGAATGGCTTTGAACGCATTTTCCGACCTTGTAAGGAAACATTACAGCACATTTCACAGTAAACCAGATTAAATGAGGAACACAGTGGTTTATACACAGAAACCTGGAGGACTATTCAAGAAATCTCGCACTATCGGGAACCCGCGTTCGAAGAACCATTTACGCCACCACAGAAACGGATTGCAGCTGTGTCACGCTTTTAATTTGACCACACTGCCGGATTTCGTTGATTGGCGGCAGAAAGGCTACGTCACGCCGGTGAAGGATCAGGGAGAGTGTGCCGGCTCAATTTATTATGCCATAACCGGAGCAGTCGAAGGGCAGTGGTTTAGTAAGACCAGGAACCTCATTCCGTTAAGCGAGCAGAACCTGATGGACTGCTGCGGCACGCGTGAGTAAGAAGAATATAATAAACGTATGCCAAGTTCAGCGCTAATTTCTTCGCAGTCAAAATTCCGTGATGACTCTTCTGGGAGCAGTTGCTTAGTGGACTGACTATACTTTGCTTCAAATCCAATCTACTTCGTAACTTTGAAAGAACTACAGTGTATTCCGACGCTTTGTTGTACACCTGTACAACAGACGTGTCTCTCATAAATACGAGTACACACAAACGGCTACGAGAGTATATACACAAACTCGTACAATATTTCGAACATATGTACATAAACTGACACTTTCTTTATTGCAGCCCCAGGAGGGTGTGAAGGCGGACCATCGTGCTCAGTAGCCGACGCATACAACTACATTGTCACCAACGGCATTGAGAGCCTCCAGGACTATCCCGACGAGGGCAGCACCGGAAAATGCCAGTACGATCCCTCCAAGCAAGCAGCTTTCATCAGCGGCTACCAGATAATTGGTGCCACGGAGACGGAACTGAAAGCGGCCGTTGCCAATATCGGGCCAGTTACGGCGGCTATCGATGCCGAAGGGGATTTCCAACAGTATTCTTCCGGAGTGTTCTACGATCCCACCTGTTATCCCGATGATCCCGATACGTATGTGCTGATTGTGGGATATGGAACGGATCCGACGGGTGGCGATTACTGGATTGTTAAGAACTCATGGGGTGCGAACTGGGGCATGGAGTAAGTGTACTAGTGTGACATAATATGTACCTACCGGAAAATGGAATGCCGAATTACTGCATTGTCTTTTCAGGGGATACATCCTTATGGCGCGCAACAAGAACAACAACTGCGGTATTGCATCTTCAACAACATTTCCTTACTACACTTGCTAAACATTGATATCCAGAAACTATATTTTAACTCTGTCGCTGCTCTGTTTACTGCAGTGTTGTAGTAGCCTGCTGCGTTCTAATGTTTGTGAATGTTAATTTCGTTGCACACAGGCTAGTGATGTCCAGGAAGTCGAAGCACTTTTCCTTGTTTCCCCTGCATGAAAAATGAATTTCGAATATTCGAAATTCAAGTACACTACCGTTTGAATTCCGAGTAATCGGAATTGCAATTGCATGCATTCCAATTCCGAGTAATCGCAATTTAGAAGGGCGCTGTTTTAATTGCGAGTATTTGAAATCTAATTTCCGACATTCCAATTCCGAGTATTCGGAATTGCAACGCATATAATATGAATTTTAAATAGGTGACTGGCGACTGCTTTGCGTCCCGACAAACCGGGCGCATAGAATTTGGCTATGCGCCCCGATGTCTGGGCGCACAGAATTTTGCTTTGCCCCCGAATTTCCGATCGCGGAAATATGGGCGATTTGCGTGTTTTTCGAAGGTTATTTATATTTTATTTGGCTTCTTTTATTAATTTAACCGCTCATTTTTCCTGTTGTATTGTCGAATACGCTAGACTACTTGAAGAGGTATGATACCAGAATGCACACCCCATACCCAAACTTTGGGTAGTATGCGCTTTCCATAAAAAATCTGGAGAAGCAATAGGAAAGTTGCTAACTTTATCGTGTCTGTCCTGAAGTAGCAGTTCAGTACAGTACAGCCGTAAAGGTTGTAGCAGGCATGAAAGCAGGACAGCTTGCATATGCCTCAACCTGGGAATTTATTAGCGTTAGCACAGCTACGGCAACAACAGCGACGAAGCGTAATGATTAGGCTTTATCGGTATTTGAGCATTGGGTGAAGACACTAGCACCGGAACACGGGTCACCGGCGCAACCGTCCGCGTCGTCCTACCTGAAACAACCCCGTGTCCTCGCAAAAGAGGGTGGTCAGCAGGGAAGAACGACTTGATACATGTAAATCAACTTTACTTCGACACAATAGCAACAAAAATGTACTAAACACAGATGTGCATTCGCTATGCGAAATCGTCAATCAGAGTTGCATTGCTTCTCCGGTATCGGGATGTACATCCCAACAACACACCCTAATGGCTTTTCTCGGCTGGACACTGGTTAACCAAGTCGTCTAGCCTTGCAGCTTACTCCACTGGGATAACCGGAATTAGCGTTGCTAATTCTAGTTTGCTACAGTTTTCTGCATGGAGTGAACTTCCGTGCCGCTCTAGATGACCTATAACAATTTAACTCACAGAATTTGATAAACCAGCGTTATCAGCTTGCTGTAAAGCTGAAAATCAGGATTTCTCAGACTGATTCCGTGATGTTTTGAACAACCTTTCCAATAAACCAGGCGATAAAAAGGAGATAAACAAAACAAAAAGTTAGCTATTAAGGGCTCTCAAATTCTGCAATTCTCTCTCAGCTTCTGCTCCCTGCAAGGCTGCAACCTTAAGGATAAATCGAGTAAAAAAATTAGGTTAAGACATTCAACTGCCGGAAAAACATGAAAATTTTTGATTTTTCTGCGCCCGGACATTCGGGGCGCACGAATTCTGTGCGCCGAACACTCGGGCGCACAACTAAATTCTATGCGCCCGGTTTATCGGGGCCATTCCGTTTTAAATAATCGGTTTTTTATAAAAATTTTTATTTAAATTTCCATTATAACGTACTTATCATCAAATTTAACACTACGGAAACTGGTGTTGTTCTGCGATACATTATATAGTATTACTGCGATACATTATAATATAGTATTACTGAACATTTATGAGCGAATTAACTTTAATAATTGAATGACAGTAGAGTTTTTAAAATTTTAGCGCTCCGAAAATTCTAGGGCGTGACCATTAAGCGTTTGATATGCATTTTTCAGTTCGGCGCACAGCTCTATACATGAGCGAAAATAACAACAAAAGATAGGTTTCCGTTTGAGGTTACCCCTACTTTGGCATTCACCGTTCGCAAATATAAAAACGAAAGCGAAAAAAAAACGAAAGGCTGTATAAAACGAAAGCTGTCTAGATGAAGGCAAAATTTGTTTAGACAAAGCACCATCAGAACCTATGCGCGCTTTGTATCGTCTCAGTCTTATATTAGACTTAGATAGTACAAGAACACAGCCAAGTTGGGGCAGTAACAAAAACTCCTCAACTTTACCATTGTATCTGTATCTAGTTCAACTTATTTGTTCTGTTTCGCGCGAGAGTTCTTGGTCTAATGCACCTTTGATAACTGTGTTTCTATGCAGAAGTTAAAGGTCAAGAGATGAGAGCTAAAGTTTGGTTTAATTTTTATCGCAAAATTCGCGATACTAATCAAAACGTAATCATGTTCATTCGATAATTCTTTAAAAACTGTTTAAATTTGAGACAGGGTAAAGTAGTATCGCGGTTTACTAATGGTCCCTTTCTTTCTTCCGTTTGATCACTCACATCTTGCCCAAAGCGTCTGGTGCGTCAAGCAACTTCCTTCTTGGATCAAGACTTCTCATAAACTGCATAACTGTAACATTCAAGTAGAGCCCTGCGCGAGCGTCAAATGTTTCGTTCACCCTCGCTCGTGTCAAATTAAACTATTAATTTAACTATTGTGAAATTTTTCTCAGCTCACTCGTGCTGAATCGTCTGCTCGCTCGCTAGGCACGTGTCGAGATTTCTTATTGCTCGAATCGCTCGGCTCGTAGACAATTTCAAGCTTCTTTGCTCAGACCGCTCGCGAGCAAAGTTATATGCGAATTGATTGTAAAAACGTACTGTGATTTTTTTTATGGCAGCACCGCTGTATGAATTTAAGCAAATTTATTTCGTGCGAAGCGCGAAGCCTACGCGCATTGTTGCAAGAAAGTCGCTATAAATTCTATAAAAAAAATAGTACGGGACAGAAAGCAGTGCGCAGCTCGCTCGTGACCTCCGATTGCCGCTCGCTCGGCTCGCTCACCCATCGATAAACGACCGCTCGGCTCGTCTCGGCTCGCGCCAGTAGCAGTAAGAGCTCATTAGTTACTATGAAAGGTGCATTAATAAGCCCCCTAAAAATGACCGCTACTGCATCCATTGAATTACCCCTTAGCTCCTTACACCGTACAGCCTGCAAACATGCGAGCAGATTTTGTTTTTAATATAGCCTTAGGCAGCCAAGTTGGGCAATAGTAATAATGGAAATAGGTGTTTGTGAAGAATGAATTATCGGTTCGCACTCGCAGTCATAGGGTAAAAATCAAAATTGCATGATAGATGCTAGGTACCGGTACATGCTGATGCCGGTGCTCAGAAATTTGATTTTTCCGTTCATTTCATATCCCATGGGCATCTATTTTAGGTGAGCTTATAATTTTCGAACAACGTTAAGGTGGGGGGGGGCAATAATTCGATAATTACGGTATGTAGCATACTACAATAATCAAAATCCAAAACAGTCATGTTTAAATTATGAATATTCGGATTTTATTTCATCGCTATTTGAATTTCGAGTATTCGAAATTCAAACTACCGCATTTTGAATTCCGAGTAATCGGAATTCAAATTACGGTCTTTCAAATTTCGAATATTGTATTCGAAAATCTAAAAAAATTCATTTAGATTACTTGGAATTGGAAATACCAGTATTTGAATTCCGAGTACTCGGAATTGGTATCGAAATTCTTTCGCATGCAATTTCGAGCACTTCCGGCAACACTTAATTTATTTATTTATTTATTTATTATTTTATTTTAAACTGGATGCCAATTAAAAAAGTTGTTTCTGTTAGTGATTTATTTCTAGAAGCTGACAATGTAGATAAGGATTTTCGAAAACCGAGATCCTCTTCCGAGTGCAATTACCTTTGCTTCCATCGTCTGACTGCATGTGACACCGGCGGTAACTTTCACGTGGTCGTTATCAGCGGCTTATCAGTTGAGCACAAGCTTTATCGGGCGCAGACGTTTGTTTGTCAAAATAAATCAGGTTTACATATACGCCGGAAATTTTTGCTGTCGAAATGGTTTCCAATAATACTGCAAAAGCAGTTTTCTAAAATGCAGCGCCACTTCGGTATACTCGTCATCGTTGCAGTATTTCTTTCTGCGTCGTTCGCGCTGAATCGCGAATTTGAAGAAGAATGGGAAGCATGGAAAGAACGATTTGGTAAACATTTGGAAATTGATTACTGTGGAATCCCTAGTTTAGAAAGCTTATTGCATACGGCTTTTGCTGACAGACAAAAATTATGAGGATTCGGACGAAGAAGCATTCGAAGAGCTATTTGGGAACAGAACGTGCAGAAGGTTACCCACCATAATCTACAGTTTGATGTGGGAAAGACCACATATAGAACAGCCGTAAACGGATTTTCCGATCTGGCAAGTACAGTAATTGCTGCAGAGTGATGCAGCATACGTTTGATTAACCTAACAGTTGTGTAGAAAGCCAATGAATTAACCAAGGAACCACAAATTTCCGGTAAAACGAACAGGAAGGCCCACACTCGGCACCATAAAAATAACGTACAACTGTGCCAGTCGTTCAACCTAACCACGCTACCGGATTCGGTTGACTGGCGGCAGAAGGGCTACGTCACACCGGTGAAAAATCAGGGACAATGTGCCCCCTCGCTATATTTCACAATAACCGGAGCAGTGGAAGGACAGTGGTTTAAGAAAACCAAAAACCTGATTCCATTAAGCGAGCAGAATCTTATGGATTGCTGTGGAACACGTAAGTATAATTATGGGCTTTATCTGGCTAGTGTGATTAGTTGGTTTACGTAAGTGTTTCGCACGTGCTGGACGAATTAGTTAAGACGTGCTGGACGAAATAATTGCCTCGTTATCAAATTATGACACGTTGAAGCGTGTTACGTTACTTGTTTGTGCGAATCCAGATCTTATTTCGTCTGATAACACCCATAAAATTTACAGCTGTTGTTATTTACAAAATTTACAGTTACAGCAACACCTTCCAAAGATGACTTTGGAAGGTGTTGAAATTACATTAGTTTTAAGGTCACTGCTTTACCCTAATCTAGCACCGGGTAGGAATCCAAGTGTGTCCCTTTTAAATAGAAGTACTAGGTATTCGCGCGCTTATTTCTTGGTTATCATAATAATATGCCATCAATTTCAGCCCAAACTGGATGCGAAGGTGGAAGCTCTTGCTCTATAGATGAAGCATACAACTACATCGTCAAAAACGGCATTGAGAGCCTGCAGGACTATCCTGACGATGGAGGCACCGGTAAATGCCAATACGATCCTTCCAAGCAGGCGGCTATCATCAGTGGCTACCAGATGATTGGTGCAACGGAGACGGAACTGAAAGCTGCAGTGGCCAATATCGGACCAGTTACGGCACTCATCGATGCCAAAGCGGCTTTCCTGCAGTATTCTTCCGGGGTCTTCTACGATCCCACCTGCAGTTCGGACAGTCCTAACACGGCCGTGCTGATTGTGGGGTATGGGACGGATACTACAGGTGGCGACTACTGGATCGTGAAGAATTCCTGGGGTACCAGCTGGGGCATGGAGTAAGTACAGATTTTTTTGTTGGTCATCAAATAGAAATGCTGTTGTGTTTAAATAACATTTCAAATTACATTTGTTACATCGTAAAAATATTACGCTTCCTATTTTTGTGCTTATATAAAAATTACGTGATGTAATAACTGCTTATAAGTATAATTGATTAGGTAGATTGATGATTATCTTGCATTTTTTTCGTGTAAAGCATTTTCTTTTATTTATTTGCAGCGGGTACATTTTGATGGCCAGGAACAAGAATAACAATTGCGGAATTGCATCGTCGACAACATTCCCCTACTACACGTGCTAAAGATCCTAATCCTGGATGCACATTGTTTAAGCAATCAGCGCGGTGCCGGCTTATACCAAAAAAGGATACGAATATATACGGAATTCGAAATGCTGCATAGCTTATTTCTGCAGTTTCTTGCTAAATGACTTTACAAATACCTGTGTGAAAATGAAACTCGTTTTAACGTTTACCATCGAATGATCATAGACAGAAAACTGATTGACATTTGAAAGAGATTCTCGTTGGAAAATTGACAGTTCGAGGGTTTTCCGTTGACATGTGTCGTTTTGTAACAAAATGATGTCTCGCTATAATATAATTATTAAGAATGCCCATACTGAGACAGTAATAGCGTACCTGTCATCTAAGTTAAATTGAAAGACAGCACTGTTCTTATCCAAATTGATACTTGTACTATTTATATACGTTTGCATACAGTATGGTTAACTACTGTAGGTATTCACATTCTGTAATCGATGAATGATCGATTTAAGATGGCCACTGATAAGAATGTCTGGCAGCCCACAAGTCCTAATTTTCTACCTTGTTCAACGGATGGAAAATTTACTTAGCCCACCGGTTTTACCTGGAGTAAGCAAAACTTGCACGGAAACTTTTGATGACACCAGCAGTTGTAAAGTCACTCATTCATTCTCTAGAATAAACCGAAGTTCTCGCCTTTTGGGAAATGAAGTTAATTTTATCATCTCAGTGACACACTGACAATTAAAATTACCATTCACTGCAAGAAATTGTGTGCAGCTACACATTTTGCATTTTTTGCTGTATTAAAATGGCTACCAATCTCCAGGTACGGCGACCGGTATTCCTTTGTTGTGTAAATGAGGATTAATTTTTTAATTTCCTTACAATTGTTACACATATCTAAAGTGCCTTATTATGTTTTCTGATGGGTAACAGTTCTTTTTCGAACTGATATCGTGTAGTATTTCGGCTATTATTTTTAAAAGGACGTAATTTGCTAATCATTGTAATTTAGTGGTTATCTGATTCTTTGACAAAATATTTGAAAAATATATCCGAAAAAACTATCACCGCTTAATATTGCTACGTACAGTAACAAGATTATATTCAGTACCATTCGTTTAATTTATACCTTTCTATGTGGACTGCTATCCAAACGGCAATTTGATGACTTGTTGAACAAACATGTGTTCCACTTGATGATAAACTTGAATTTAGCACTTGCATACGTTTTATGATAAAAATGATGTGCCTTTGTGGTTTGGAAAAATATTGTAGCATGCTAAACATTGATGAGTATATCGACGCTGTAGCGCAGAATCGAATGAGTATTTCATGCGCAATTCTAATTTATTACAGTACTATTGAACCAGTTTCCACAGTGTATGCCTAATTTAATATTTAACCAATTTTAATTTCCTGTTGTGCTTTAGGGATTTGTTGCGCTGGTTACCGGCGGTGCTTGCGGCTTGGGACGCGCATCGGTGGATTTGTTAGCTTCAAAAGGTGTCATCGTGTTTGTCCTGGACATGGAGCAAGTTATCAAGAATCAAGAGCACGTTAAATCCCCTGGACAAGTGCACTTTCGTGCCGGTGATGTACGTATGCGTAGTCGCATCTGTGTACTGTAGATGTCATCTGATCGCAACAGCATTTCTGACTAATTGATTTTACATGTTAATATGTTAGGTCACTTCCGAAGAATCCGTAACGAAGATACTGGAAGAAATCCGTACGGCATATAACCGACTGGATATTGTGCTGAACTGTGCGGGAATAATGGCCATTGAACCTCTGTATGATTTCAAAGCCGATAAGCCGTTGCCGATGGAAAAGTTCACTAGGATCTATAACGTAAGCGCCGGAAACGGATAACTGCTCTTTTGTTACTGTCAGATATCGCAGTCTGAAAAAATTAAAACATTTTATATCGTCAGAGATAACTACACATCTATATTTTAAAATGTAGACAATCCTTTAGGTTAATGTTTTCGGAACCGTCAACGTTGCCCGGCTGGCGGTAGGTCTGATGGCCAAGAATCAACCGGATGCAGAAGGTCAGCGTGGCGTCATTATCAATGTGGCCAGTTGTGTGAGGAAAGACGGACCAGCGTGGCTAATTGCTTATAGCAGCAGTAAATCCGCTGTCGATGGGATGACCATTCCCATGGCACGGGAATTTGGACCACAAGGCATTCGTGTTGTCGCTATCGCTCCCGGTAACAGAGCTGTATTATGTACAAGATAGAACGTACAAGTTTTTATACTTGAAAAAGGTAATTATAGTGCGCATGTACAGTAAATACGTTTGCTACTACGTAATATAAAGCGTTTATCATTTTTTGGGTTTGCTTTTTTTCATTATGCAAACTTAGTATCAAGCAAACGCAAGACAATTACGATCGGTATAACCGATCGACAATTATTGATTATGGTATAACAATTTAATTACAGGGCCTTGCGGAACGGGGATGGTCCGGCAGTTCGACGGCCTGGAGGATGCATGCGTTAACATTGCGGTTTGCCCCAAGCGAAACGGAAAACCGGAAGACTTTGCCAGATTGGTCCAGTACACCGTGGAGAATCCTTATATCAATGGCACAACCATTGCCCTTGATGGGGGATTCACGAATCCCGTCTCTCTTGCGCCACCATGACTCTGTTAAACTTTACCATCAGTGTATTTCTCATTCTCTGATAACGTTCTTAAATTTCTGTCAAAGTTTCCTATAATACTGCATGCAGCTAATGGGGCAGTACTGACGTACGTTACATGTTTCATCAGGAAGAACTTAGCAAGCTGTCGAATATCCAGATTCTACGTACACTTCTACTTTTTTGATACGTATTAGGTGCGCATCTTTTCGTATAACGCATTCTCATGTACTGTATTTGCGTTAGGTTTGATTCGACAACATCCTGTACACATATCAGTACGCTTCCGCAGATTTGCACTAATTAAAAATTGTGTTTTCATGCACATTCCTTAGACAGGTAATTTCTTTTTAATGCTGTAGGTTTATTGAAAAACCGGTACAGGTGCAAAAAGTCGCAAATGCGCAATAATATACTGGTGGCCTAAAAGCTTTGATTTTGCAGTACTAGAAATTTTCAAACCGGTTGTCGGCCGAGGATTTTGAATGGTGACTTTAATACTGATTGCTGTGCAAACGTAAATATTTGCAGTGATTGTGCAAAATTTTGTTATTTCATTTGGTGATCGGTCTGCTCACACAACTGTACGCATAATTGCCGCTAAGTGATAGTGTACAGCGCATTACTCGGTTTTTATTGCAACTGGCAGCAAACTTCTGAAACAACAAAAACAAAAGGTAGACGGTGTAACAGCAATTAAAGGCAACCTTTACGAATGAAAACAAAACTAGCAACCGAAATGTTGTTCCGTTATATAGCGGTCAAAATAGCACGTTGCGCATTACCTCCTAGAAGAAAAATTCTAACAACTGACTCTCCGATCTATAAAAAGCAGCTGCACAAACTGCATTGGTCATAAACTTTCAGATTGCTGTATATCAAACCGTTAAGAATTATACAATAGTGTCCAGTTTGTGGTAACTTGATAACTTTCCAGTATCGTCGGCCCATCACCTTGCAATTATGTTCCTCTATCTTTCCATTGCTGTTTTGTTGCTGAGCACCTTGGTTCCAATTAAGAAACCATTTGAGCTTGATTTTATTGAAGATAAAATTATTTTAGCGATTTGCCTGTACTGTTTTACAGGTATATCTGCCACGGATTCGAAGGAAACAGCTGGCGCCGGCAAAGTCTGCCATCATCCCAAAAACTGCAGAATGCCGCCTTGCAAACCCAATCGTAAGTTGCGTAAAACTAAATACCCATATTTTTACCGTATTTCCTACTACCGTGTACTGAAGTGTTTTGAAGAACTATGACGCTTTTCGCTCGATTCGAGTCCAGCTAACGGTTGTAAAATGCAGCTATCTGTATATGCAAGGTTATTAATTTTTCAAATCCAGAGTAGATGTTCTAGTTATATTTCTACGAGCAACGATACCATTATTTTTTGGGTGTCCCTTTTTTAATAACGATAAACGCGTCGCAAGGTTTTACTGTAGTCCGTTTCATGATTCGTTTTGATTTGACAGAAGTCCCAGCCTGCAATAGCTGCGGGTGCGTGGCCAAACCGGATAAACCCGGCAGTTCCTCCTCGAGCTCTCCTTCCAAAAGCGAGTAGATTTCCGGACAACGCTAATGTTCCCGAACTGTGATTCTGTTTACCGAATGAATCGCTTGACGGTTACATGTTTATTATGTGTTCAGTGATGTACGTTTGGCTGCAGGAATTATTTATTATCTATATTATTTGAGTACTTCCCGTTGTACTTAACGTTTATGTATAAATTTTTACTCCGATCTGTGATTCTCCCCACATTTTTGGCTGCCCCGATGCTAGAAAATCTCGTATTCTTAACAAATTTAGCCGGCGTTTTTGGTATTTGGATGTGCATGCTCAGCGCTGGCGAGTACTTAAAAAAGAAAAACGAAATTGATTGAAATAAAATTGAAATAGAAATTGATTTGGAGATATATTCTATCGCAGCTGATTATGTATCCGAAGTACAGAACGTTATAAGATGCTAAAGCAAATATACTACTCTAGCATGCAGACTGATGCAGTTGACATTGCGGTATAACTCGAAACTGGTTTATTGCTTTTGGTGTTGTTTATAACTTTATATTGCGGTTTTGTTGTAATAAAAATGTCATTTATCCACAAAAAATGCACTGTAACGATAAACAGCTCACAGCAAAGTGCTGTATCTACTTCATTCATAATAGTAAGCAGATCAAGACTCGGTAGTTTTGCTACGAGTAATTAAAATTGTTGTCACATGGATACAGAACTGCTGCAAACAAACGCTCTGTCCTACAAATGTTGGTACGTCAACACTGAAATACGTACGGTAATATGGATAAAAAAAAATACAAGTATGAATACATCCGCCACTCCCGAGTACTTCTTCAGAGAACATAACTATGATAGTAAATTCTAAATTTAAATCGCTTTAGAAAGCGATTAAGCGCATTAATTAATGCGCATGCGTTTTATTTAGAAGAAGTATGCTTGCACAAGTGTCATTGTGTAAAAAGAGGTTAGCGGCACACAGGTATTATCTTTTGCGTGCTTGATCCGGATCCGCAATCCGCTTGATCCGGATCGACCCGACACCAGACACTTGATGACTACAGCAAGGATCTCAAGAATGCCATTGAATCTAATGGGATCTCAGTTCGATTTGTGTCTATTTACACTGCTAAAAAAGGTGGCAAAAAACAGTTTGTTTCGCTTGTGTTGGTTCATTTGCTCACGAGTCTGATAAGATGTTTGATGCGGAAAATTGGCCTTCTAACATTGGGGTGCGTGAGTGGTTGTTTGCCCCCAAAGAAGCGAAGTAATTCCTAACTTGGAATGCGGTTTCTTTTAACTTCACTAATTGCTCTGTCTTGACTGGCTTGTGATAATAAAATCCGCAACAGAAAACCTTTGGGTAGCCCTAGTACATCAGTATTTTTATGGAATTTCTAAAAAAGACATCCGTGTTTCTACAGGCATCGTGAACAAATCATTAAGTGGTTGTCATACGAGTGCATACTACGTACGGTACCTTCTTATGTTAAACCATGTGCAATTGTTTTACACCAGGCATGTCCGCTTTTATGTAATGTTGTTATATTTCTTTCTCCTATCAGACATTGGTGTGCCTTATATTATAAATAGCTCGGGGAATCGGTATGTTTTGCACGTCGTAAACTTATTTACCTCGTCAATACGAACGAAAATATCACCCAATTTAGCGTTTTTCTATCCCATTTAAAAAGTGTGATATACAAAATAATAACAAAGTTACAGAAAAGCCTTTTTCACGTCAGTCAAGTGGACTACCTACCAAATCATGCTTCTTTACGCATCCGTTGTTGTGCTGCTGCTGCTGAACGTGATCCCTAGTAAGACCATAACTATGAATTTTTGCAATTATATACTTATGACGTACCGCTGTTCATGAGACTAGTGCGCACTGGAAGAAAATAGCTATAATAACGCTTTATTGAATCACAGGTAACAGTGTCACTGATTCCAAGTCGCCAGAAAAGGTGGAAAAGATAAGCCATGCAACAAGCCTCCCGTAAAATGTGGCATTGTCTGCACTCCACCTTGTAAGCATTCAAAATCTTGAGGCAACAAGTTTACTCTTTTATCCTGTACAGCGAATTCACAGCTTGCAATTCCGTCCTACCAGGTTAAATTTATTAGCATTATTATATGATTACATGACTATTTGATTATTTACAGCGGTTCCTATAAAATGTGGATGCGGATGTACTAAACCAAATATTTCACCATGAGATTACGGACTGCAGCGTGCTCCTTGGTACATAGTACATACGGACTTTTACAGTATTATTGCAAGAAACAATGGGTCAAAGGCCCTGTATGCGGTCTTCTGTAACTGGGTATTTTAATGTGCGCTTGATTTTGTTGTTAGCTGCTGGTGCTTATAATTATGATCATTTCTATTTGCAGTACAAATGAATGTTTATGTATTCACCTGTCTGACGGCTTATTTTATGGTTACGCCGTAAAAAACTTAGTTGATCGTGTGTTCGGCAAAAATGCTTTGTACGAACGTATGAAAATCATTACTCTCACCATTAAAGCTACGATACGATATGCATAAATTTCGGTTAAGGTGCTTACTACACTGGTTAACACTTCTCCATATACACAACAACGGAATTAACCACATTCAAAATTACTTCCATTAAGTTCCATAAAAAGTGGTTATTCCAGTCTTATTTTGTAGAATGTAGCATATTTTTCCGCTGTGCTACGTTCTACAATACTCGTATAATCTATAATGTATGCCAGTATACTGTACACAGCACCGGTACAAGTTTGGACTGAAACGCAATAATAAAAACAAGTACCGGTACCATTCGTAGTACAAATACCAACCTCGCTCGACATCTCTCTGCGTATTACGAGTTTTGGTTGTTTAATAATTTGACAACAATCATGGACATCATCCGGGTGACAAGTACTAGGGTAGGCGCAATGCGCTTTGACATTCCAAATACAGTACGGCATTTTCTAAGCCGTACCACGTTCAGCAGTAAAGTCCTACTGATCTGTAGCGAGTTATGCTTTTAAGAAACCACCATTTGGATAAAATCTTCTAGTGTGAGCTTTCATGTTCTGATCTACTTGTATCGGGGTTTCCGTCGCTCGGAATACACTGCAAGATCACTAGCATCTTCGCACTGCCTTCAGAGTAATTATTAAAACAAACTTCACGGAACCATGATGCTTTATACGTGCACGGCGCTGCTGTTGTTAACCAACTTATTTGCAATCGGTAAGAACCTGGATTCGCAGCATCAGTCAGTGTTACTGTGTTACGCACCACCATCTGGGTTCGTATGCGTTATGATATTTCATCTTTATCATCACAGGATATGGCACCCCGGTCAAATCGGATTCTGTCAGTGGCTCATCCAGTAGCGGCGGGAGAGAGGCGCGAATGTGCGCTCTACATTGTCAACCTCCAGGTAAGTTTGTTATGTCTGTTATGTCTGTTATGTCTGTAATACTTATATAGATCGAAATGGGTGCTACCTACCTGATACTAGCGTCCGCCAATCCCACTCTGACCCACCCCAAAAGTTCCCGTCATTGAAGCGGCCGGTACTAAATGTGACCTTACATTTCCAAATCTCAAGATTCATTGCGTTCATCCAAATTCGAGATTTTGATGAACCGGCTGAACCGACTATCAAACCGAAAAACCACCTGCTGATCCTTTTTTCTCGCGTCAAATCAATTTGGGTAGTCGGCAAATACTTTTTTCTAAAAGGTCACCCACCAGAGTTATACACTATAAATGGTCACGTGACCACC